AAAATGGACTTAAATTATTGCTACTGGGTCAGTTAAGCTATCTTTAGCTGGTACCTCATTTGTCTGTAATCTCAGAATGGTTATTATGTTGAATATAGAACTCACATTGGTTTTTCTAATCTTAAAATTACTAAAAATAGTATCAATGAAGTGATCAAAATTAACATCCCTAAAACTTTGACAAATTGCCCGGCCAGCATAGCTCAGTGGTTGAGTGTCAACCTATAAACCAGGAGGTCAGGGTTCAATTCCCAGTCAGGGCACATGCCTGAGTTGCAGGATCGTTCCCCTGTGTGGGGCATACACGAGGCAGCCGACCAATGATTCTCATCATTGATATTTTTTTTTAAATATATTTTATTGATTTCTTACAGAGAGGAAGGGAGAGAGATAGAGAGCTAGAAACATCGATGAGAGAGAAACATTGATCAGCTGCCTCCTGCACATCTCCCACTGGGGATATGACCGCAACCAAGGTACATGCCCCTGACCGGAATCGAACCTGGGACCCCTCAGTCCGCAGGCCGACGCTCCATCCACTGAGCCAAACCGGTTTCGGCAAGTATAACGATTGATATTTCTATCTTTCTCTCCCTCTCCGTACCTCTCTGAAATCAATAAAAAAAATGTTTTTAAAAATTGGACAAATTGACACCAAGGGAGAGAGCTTGAACTTTAGCTTGGATCCAAAAACAAAAACAAAAAAAAACAACAAACTTACAAAGGACATCATTTAGAAATTTGAACATGGAGTGTATGTATTGTGTCAACTTAAATTCTTCTGAATGTGATCATTATAATTGGTTATGTTAGAGAATGTCTTATCTTAGGAAATATATGCTAAAGTATTAGAAATGAAGTGCCATGATATCTACAACTTGCTCTCATGGTTCAGCTCCCATTCTCTCTTGTGCTCTCTCTCTCTCGTTAACTTCCAGGTATTAATTCTCTTTGTGTGGTAACCTAGGTCACCCAAAGCATTATTCTAAGTTTGAAGCTTACTTTTTTTCATCACACTTCCTTACATTCTTAGCTATGTTAACCTGATAGGAGTCTCGAAGTGTAAGTGCAGTGGCAATAATTCCATGCTAGAATAAGGCCCATTTCCATGTTATAATAGAGTCTTGGATCTCTTTCTTCCATGTGTAGTAACAGTTATTTTTTCCCACATGTGCTCTTTGCTTTAGGCACAAACCCTCACAGTATGGAGGCAGGCTGATAAACACAAAATACCTCGAATCTGTTTTTTAAACAAGATGGACAAAACTGGAGCAAGGTATTTGTTTAAAATTTGTTTAAAGTATATTTCTTTGGCTTATTAAAGTAAGAATTCAATTTGAGCTTCTAATGGACTGTAACTTAAATTTAGAAATACCTATTCCTTATAGAGTATAAATATTCCATGAAATCTATTCAGTCCCCTTAAAAAGAAGTGAAAGCCGCTAATTCATAGGTTAAGTAACACTGTGAGATTAATACAGAGCTCATAGATGATGAACCATCCTGATTCTAATGTAGGGAGACTGTATTTTCTAGGATCCTGACAGTGATGTCTTGCTGATTCCATTGGTTCTATTTAGAGCTGTATGGTGTAGTCCCTGTATGTACCGCTGAAGGTTATGGTGCTCCCTGTCTTTGCTAAAGGTAGAGGTTAGCAAATTGTTTCTTGTAGTTGCCTCAGAGAACAGTGTTCTTCCTTGTCCCCTGATTTTCTTTGGCTCCTACTGGGTAATATACTCTCCATTGAAGGGAACTGGGAGAGGAGAATTAGATGTTTAAGACCTGCATATAGTACAAAGAGTGAATGCTGAAATGTTGTGATAATGCTCGGAGACTTACGGTGTGGTAATCCAAAATGATACATTATTCTGAGAACAGAATTCAGAATTCAGAGAATCAAGAATATATGAAGAATTTGGAGAAATTGTAAAAGGGAGACAATCAAGAATATAAAGGATTTTAGGGAAATCTGACAGGGAGAGATGCTGGTCTGTGGTGTGAGAGTGGCAGAAACAAAACAAACTATTTCTTCCTAAAACCACACAGTATGCTCTGTTTATGTAACTCTTGAAGGATTTCTAAAGGCTGTTGGTTTAAAGGACTTTTGTCTCGATTAGTAAAAGTACAACCTTCAAAATGTGTGAGGCTTAAGTTCTGACCCTTTTCTGTTTGGAGGGCCTTGAGGTAGATGCCTTTACTGACTTATAGCACCTGTGATGATGGGGAGGAAAGTGACTGGATACTAGGCTGGTTGTCAAAGACATTGGGACCAGAATAAGTTAGCGCATGTGCCAAAGATGACATGTGTGCCATAGGTAGCCAACCCCACTGTTAGCACAGAAATGAACAGCATAACAGCTAACATTAAGAATACCTGAGACCAGTCAATGAAGGAAAAACACTACATGATCTCACTCACTCATGGATAATAAAGACCATTATAAACTTATGAACAAAAATAGATACAGAGGCAGAGCTGCCTCGAACAGACTCTCAAACTCCAGTGGGAAAGCTGGGGAGGGTTGAGGGGCGGGAGGGGGGAGGGTAAGAGATCAACCAAAGGACTTGTATGCATGCATATAAGCATAACCAATGGACATAAGACACTGGGGGGTAGGGGAGGCCGGGGGATTGTTAAGGACAGGATAAAAAAGGAGACATATGGAAGGACTTGTATGCATGCATATAAGCATAACTAATGGACATAAGACACTGGGGGGTAAGGGAGGGCAGGGGATTGTCAAGGGCGGGGGGGGGGGGGAAGGACACATATGTAATAACCTTTGTAATACTTATTATAAAATTTTTTTAAAAAGAAAAAAAAAGGAGACATGTAATACTCTTTGTAATACTTTAAGCAATAAAACAGTTACAAAAAAAAAAGAATACCTGAGATAAAAGTATAGAAAGGCTGGCTTTTGGAAGAAAGCTGGTAGCCGTGTGTAATAGCAAATGCAGTTATTAGAAGAATCCTTGACTTGTAATAACAAATCTTGCATTTGAATCCTAACTGAAATTTGTTATCTGTGATCTTGATCAATTTAGGTAACCTTAACCCTCCAATTTCAGTTAAGGGTGAAGTTAACAAAAATAATACCTTAAATACCTATGTGGGCAGGGTTTCTGGGAGATATTCAATTACTATTTATCTGGATTGACATTAAAATTTTTTTCAAAATGTCTTATGGAAACTGAAGTGATGAACATTAGAAGCCATGGAAAGGGTTGTACTTTTAGAGAACATTTTTAAACTTGTTTTTAAAACGTTAACATTTTTAACTACTGTATAATTATTTTGCTTTCTACAGTTTTAACTATGCAGTTGAAAGCATCAGAGAGAAGTTGAAGGCAAAGCTTTGCTTTTACAGGTTGGTTGATTAATATTTGGTTAATCAATAGTAACAACTCCTCAGTTTCCTCATCAATTTATTTTATTGTGACATACACATTTCTGAAGCTACTTCAAATCATTTTTGGAAGAAGTTGGAATATAAATTATAAAATAGGTAAGATTGTGGTAATAATAATGGACATTTGGGGGAAAGTGGGGAAAGATAAGATTTATCACCAATGCCATTCTAATTGAGTGATCATTTAATAATGTTAATTTTGCTCTGATTTATAGTTACCAATTGGTGAAGCCAAAACTTTCAAAGGAGTGGTGGATGTAGTAAATAAAGAAAAACTTCTTTGGAATCCCAATTCAGATGATGGAAAAGACTTTGAGAGAAAACCCCTCTTGGAAAAGAGTGATCCTAAATTGCTGAAGGAGGCTACTGAAGCAAGGAATGCCTTAATTGAACAAGTAAAATAATACTTTGAGTTTAAAGTTGCATAAATATTTATAAACTCTAAAGAATAATTTATATTGAAATTTAATATAAAATTACATTTGGAAAATATAAGATACAAGAATAATGAAATGAACACCACCTGGCTTAAGAAATAGAATATTAGCAATACTCTTGAATCTCCATGTGCCACTTCCTATTCATCTCTCCCCCTTCCACTAATTATCTATTTTCCCAACTACTGTATTGACTGTAGAGTTTATCTTTCATTTGCTTTTTTTTAATAGTTTACCACAAATATATATATCCTTAAAGAACATAGTTTTTCACCCAGCTGGTGTAGCTTAGTGGTTGAGTGTTGAACTATGATCAGGAGGTCACAGTTTGATTCCCAGTCAGGACACATGCCCGGGTGTGGGCTCCATCCCCAAGTAGGGGGTGTGCAGGAGGCAGCCAATCAATGATTTTCTCTCATCATTGATGCTTTTGTCTCTATCCTTCTCCCTTCCTCTCTGAAATCAATAAAAATATAAAACAGAACAACTAGTTTTTCATGGTTTTGAACTTTATATAAATGGAATGATACTTTTTATTTTATTACATTGTTCAACATTGTGTTGAAGATACTTCCATGTTGTTACGTGTGATTATACTTCACTTGTTTTCAGTCTTAAGTAGTGTGCCAATATATGATTATACCATAATTTATTGTCTGTTTTCCTGTGGATAAACTTTGAGGTTGTTACCTCTTTTTTTTTTTTTTTTTTTTTTTTTTTTTTTGCTGTTACAAACAGTGTTGCTGTGAACATTTTTGTATGTATGTCCTTGTGCACATATGTAAGAATTTGTTTAGAGTGAAACCTAGGAGTGGAATTGCCAGGTCAAAAGGTATTTCTGTCTTTTACTTGACCAAATGTCAAATTATTTAGAAAATTGTTGATATATAATTTTAGACCTCATGTCACCCTCAAAATTTAAAAGAAAATAGTAATATTATTATTTTTTTTTAAATATATTTTATTGATTTTTTACAGAGAGGAAGGGAGAGAGATAGAGAGTTAGAAACATCGATGAGAGAGAAACATCGATCAGCTGCCTCCTGCACATCTCCCACTGGGGATGTGCCCGCAACCCAGGTACATGCCCTTGACTGGAATCGAACCTGGGACCTTTCAGTCCGCAGGCTGACGCTCTATCCACTGAGCCAAACCGGTTTCGGCAAAAGGAAATAGTAATATTATTATTTGTAATATTTATATGATATTGTTAGTTTAAAAAACAATAAGTAAAACATATCTTAAATAAACTCCCTGAATTTTATGGTAAAGAAGAACATTTGAGTCTGAACTCTTTGATTTCCTTACTTCTAAATTAAACTGGTCAAAATTATAATTAATTATTTTCATTCATCTTTTGTATGAAGTTATTTTTGAAGTAATTCTTTTCCATTATATAGTAATTTTCAACTTTATTATGAACATGATAATGGTCATTGTTAATTTTATTATTGGATAATATTTATTGAAGACTCATGATCTAACTTAAGTGCTTTACATATATTATTTAATCCTCAGAACAGTGTATATGATCCCCATTTTACAGATGAGGAAACAGAGGCTTACAGTGGTAAAATAAGTTGTCATATAGCTAATAAATAGCAGAGCTGGGATCTGAACCCAAATCTGTCTGTTTAGAGCTAGAGCCCATACTGCTTCTCTAATTTGAGGGGGCGGGGGGTTGCACATAAGGATAAAAGTGGAATTGACATTTATTAATCAATAATTGGGTACATAATTGGTTCTCCTTTGAGGTTTTATTTTGTTTTATATAAAAGGGCTATCAGAATAAACCTAAGGAGGATTTTATAATCTAATTGAGTTACCAACATAAACTTGCATATGCTCTAGGACAGTGGTCGGCAAACTGCGGCTCGCGAGCCACATGCGGCTCTTTGGCCCCTTGAGTGTGGCTCTTCCACAAAATACCAACTTCTGCACATGGGCCATGAAGTTTCAATTGCACTGTACGTGCGTGCCCGCACGTGGTATTTTGTGGAAGAGCCACACTCAAGGGCCAAAGAGCCACATGTGGCTCGCGAGCCGCAGTTTGCCGACTACTGCTCTAGGACATTAAAGGTTCAAATTTTCTATCAGTAGGTAATAAAGAGCTAATTATAAGGAATACATACGTATGTGTAGAATTAGAGAGTAACACCACATCACACCTGTTAGGATGGATTCTATCAAAAAACAAAATAACTTGTAAGGATGTGGAGAAGTTGTAACCCCAGGCATTGCTGGTGGGAATGAAAATGGTGCAGCCATTGTGCAAAACAGTATAGTGGTTCTTCAGAAAATTGAAAATAGAATTAACATATGATCTAGCAATTCCACTTCTGGGTTTATATCCGAAAGAATCGAAAGCAGGGTTTCAAAGAGATATTTGTACATCCTTGTACATAGCAGCATTATTTATAACGGCCAAAAGGTGGAAGGTATTTATCAACAGATGGATGGATAAATAAAATGTGGTATATACACACAACAGGCTAGTAGTCAGTGTTATAATGGAAGGAAATTCTGACATGATACATTATTAATGAACCTTGAGGACATTAAACTTGCTATTTGAAATAAGCCAATCACAGAAGGACAAATACTGTATGATTCCATTTATATGAGATAGCTCTAGTAGTTTGGTACATTTTTACAGTAGTTGGCTATTAAAAGGCTGTTTTTCTCAAATTTGCAAGTTTTATTCCTTTATACTATTAAAATCTTTTGAAACTTTTATTAATTTTATTGTCAGCTGAATTCTATTTTATAATGGCAAATGATTATGAAAAGGACATGAATTAGATAAATACATTTTTATTATTGAAATTATGTCTACTATCCCAACTTAAATATATTTCCTCAGTGCAGAATTAGTTATAATAAGATTAGTCCTTTTAGTTTGACTTTCTCAGATCTTATGAACATTCAGAATATTAGAGGAGTATCAAATAAAACTTTGTTATGAACTAAGACCCCCAAATTTAGCTAAAAATAGCAATCCATTGTATATGTTATCATTGACTACAAATTGTGCATTTTCTTTTGAACACTCTGAGTAGATAGCAATTTAATGTTATGCTTAATCTGGCTCAGGCTTCCCATGAATTTAGGAAACTCATAATAGCATGTCTTCAATTTTCAGTCTCCTTTCCTTTGAAAGAAAAACTCTCTTTTAGAAGATAGGAAGACGTCCTTGGCCTGGATAAGTTAGACCATGGAGCTGTCTTGTAATATTTGGATAATGTATATTTAGAGTATTTGGCTTAAGTTAATAGTTGGACAACAAATACAAGTCATAGAACTAAAGCCTTTCTTTATAGGTTGCAGATTTGGATGATGAATTTGCTGACTTGGTTTTAGGAGAATTTAGTGAAAATTTTGATTTGCTCCCAGCTGAAAAGGTAAATTTTATTATTCATTTACTTTGACCAAGTTTTACTAATTGGATGTACTTTGTTTTCTGTGTTTGTGTTGTTTTTGTTTTTCTAACTTTGCATAGCATTGGAAACTATGCTGATTTTAACAAAAATTAGAAGAACATTGAGATAAAGCCACTAATACAGCTACTTAATAATGGCATGATTAACTATTTTTGGTTATATTTTACAAAATTAGAAGTGGAATCTTTTTTACTTGTATTGATTCAGGACAAGTTGTTAATTCTCAGCCTTTTCATTGTAACCATTTAATAAGTATTTTTAAGGAAATCAGAGGTTGAAATTTTTTATTTAAAATTTCCTGGTTTTTCAATCTACAATAATCATTTTAATCAGAATATTTTTTTCTGAATCTCTTTTAATTTTTAGTGGAAACTCATTGCAGGTCTTTTGTTTTGTTTTGAAAAACATTAAACCAGAGACTAGGCAAGTAAAGTATAGATAATAATTGAATTATGACATTTCTTTAAGGCATTCCTGTTTTTTTGTGTTTGTTTCTTTTTCCTGCCAGGACTCTTCCTCCATGAATTTGGCAAACTTACTCTTTATTTTCCTTGATGAAACAGAAGAGTTACTAAAGAAAGTGTTTTTAAGTGGTAATATGTATAGTGGGATCCAAGATGAGCCCAGCAAATTCACTTAATTATTTTCCCCAAAAAGAATTAAAGAAAAACACAAGATCTGTAGATTAATTTTGAGCCATTTGAAATTACTTGAGGTAGAAAAAAATATTTTTCTTTTGAATGAAATGGCATAATTTTGACATATTTTATTGGTTAGTATTTGAGTGCTTAAGTGTGTTATTTTGCCCTACGGTCACATAACATGACTTCTGTTTTCAAAGAGTTTACAGTCTAAAGTAGAATTGACCCACCATTCCCTTATCAGTAGCTTGCAGGTACACCCAAGCTTTTCTTGGTTTTTGAGGTCTTTCAAATATTTCTTTCTACTTTGATTTCTCATTTTCTTTTGGATTTTATTTAATATGGATCTATTTCATTTGAAAAAATTGTTACTCATGTTTATATTTTTAATTTCTTACCAGCTTACCAGATTATTAAGGTGAAATCACAAATATATGAACTCATCTATTCAATAAATATTTTTAAATACCTACTTTGTTTTAAGCACTTTTCTAGTTTCTGGGATTTAGCAGTTTTTTCATTGAACCTCACTGTAATTCTTATAAGTTTTACATTTAATAGAAGGGGAGATGGACAATATACTAATAAATATGTATCTAATATACCAGGTAGTAATTAATATTATAAAGAAAAACAAAGAATAAGGCCATAAAGAATGATGGAAGTATGTTTTACGTGGTTGGTTAGGAAAAACATCTAATTCTGAGATATTTTGGTTGAGACAAGTATACTGCATATATGTGACCATCTTATGGTCACATAAAATACTTATTTATACCTTTGCTTTCTAGCTACAGACTGCAATACACAGAGTAACACTTGCTCAGACAGCAGTACCTGTGCTTTGTGGAAGTGCCCTGAAAAACAAAGGGGTCCAACCCTTGTTAGATGCTATTACTATGTACTTGCCTTCACCTGAAGAGCGCAACTATGAATTTCTGTAAGTATGCAGGTATATAGATTAAAATGTATAGCCTCGAATCACCACTTTTTAATGACATTGGTGAAAAATATCACTGTAAATCATATAATATAGTGTCATAGTAATTTTCACTTGGAAGGGACATTTGTTATCTCTTGTAACCTGCTGCGTTTACAGATGGAGCTAAGAATGTGGATTTATTGCTGTGTAAACATATGTTGGCCCTGCCAACTTAGTTTAAAAATAAAAAGGTAGTATACTGGGAACATCTGATAAATATATTTTATATCTATTCTAGATTTCAAGATTTTTCAAAAGCTCAAAATACTTTATGGCTATAAAGAAGATCATTGTTTGACTCCTGTTGCCACTAACAACTTTTTACTTACTAATAAATCCTCTAAAATCTGAGTGTTGTGTAAAATGGCAGGTGAAACTGGACTTTAATACGTTTAACTAGGAAATTAACCACTTTTCAATTGGAGATTGTAATATCTCTCAATTGGAGTGATTGTGAGCGTGGACTGTGTTCTACCTGGATTTAAATTTCACCTCTTCCAAGTTGCTTAACCTCTTATCTGTGAAATGCAGAGAGTAGGGCCTATCTCAGAGGATTGTTACAAGAATCAAATGAGTTAATGTTTAAAAAGTATATGGAACAGTGCCTAGTGTAAGCTTTCTATATAAGGATTTATTGAATAAAATTAAAAACTGGGGAAATCGTATTGGAGAATTTCTGTAATAGAAATGTCTAAACTACTTTGAGCCATGGACTCCTTTGAAAGTAATGAAAATAGAGAGCTTTTCCTAAGAAAAATGTACACAAAATCCTATCAATGAACACCAACTTAAGGACATTATTCTGTAAGAATGCTGGCTTATAAACAAGTTCAGATTTGCAGTATATGTTTATATGGTTATGTGACTGGAGAGAAAGTGGGAGGAGAGTGTACAAACAGTAATTGGAAAGTACTTATCTATTTACTCTGTACAGGTTTTTTTGAGAAAGTGCTGTGATGTTCCTTGGAATATTTTTTTGAGGAGGAAACTCTTGGTTATGGAATTATTTGCAAATTGAGGTAATATTTGGAAGAGACCCCATTGTTTTTAGTTTTGAGGAATTAATTCAGTGGAGGAAGTGGGGTACTGACATTGTTTAGTCAGTCTGGGCAGCTAAACTAGAAGATGTGAAGGCTCTTTGGAGGACATCACGATTAAGTTTGTGCAGCGATTATGATCTGATCTGGATAAATATATTGAAAGTGTATTTTAAAGACTTTTTGGAATGTCTCCTTAACTTTTACAGGCAGTGGTATAAGGGTGACTTATGTGCACTGGCGTTTAAAGTTCTCCACGACAAGCAGCGGGGACCGCTGGTGTTCATGCGCATTTACTCAGGCATGATAAAACCCCAGTTGGCCGTCCATAATATTAATGGAAACTGCACGTAAGTAGAAGCTTAGATTATTTTCTAAAACTGTACTTGTTTCTTTAAAAATACTTCTACTAATATAAATCATGGTTTTACAGGGAGAGAATAAGTCGTCTGCTTTTGCCATTTGCTGACCAACATGTAGAAATCCCTTCACTGACTGCTGGTAACATTGCTTTGACTGTTGGACTTAAACATGTAAGTGATGAAATGGTTTCTCTAGGAATTGGGTGGAGGGGGACTATAGGGGGAGACATCTGTAATATTCTCAGCAATAAAGATTTTTGAAAGTAGATATTTTATAATAGCAAAACCCCCATAAATCTAAATGTCCATCAGTAGTAGTGGAATAATGAATATTGTGTAGCATAGTTATTAAATGGTTGACTCTTATACATTTAATAGAAAGAAAGGAAATTGCAGAAAACTATTAACGGTATGGATTGTATTCATATAAAGTTCAAATCCAAGTAAAATAATATACTATCCATGTATGCATACATACATTTTAAGATTATATAAACATTATTATTGCTATTGGATTTTTTTTTATTTTGATCACTGCACACAATTTCATCTAACCTTATAACCGATGAGGTATTAACTTAGGATATTTTGACAATGAAGTCTCCATGAGGGCAAGGATTTTTGTCTTTTTCTCTGTTCTTAGTCCTTAGACCAGTGAATTTAGGCACTCCATGACTTTTATAGGATGAAAATATGTGATGCTGTCTATATATGCTTTTGATGGGTTAAAACTAAGGACATTTCACTTTTATATGTATTAAATCAAGTACAGTTACTCATGAAACTTTGGTATATTTGGCATTTAGGATAAAACATTGTTACTTTTAACATTTTAAACTCTTTATGAAATTGCAAGATGTAAAATCCTTTATAGAAAATTCCCATGGTCCGGAAATTGGACTTCTAGCATCACAGTGGCTTCTCTGTCTATCTGAAGGCAGAACTTGTATGTATTTGAGAGAGTTACAGAAATCTGGGCTAGTGTTCAGTAGGAATATCTTTACAGAGACAAAAACCGGCACAAAACTCCCTAATAGGTAAGTTTAAAAGTAAAATTATAGTTTTAAAAAATAACTGAAGTCTAAAGGAAGCTACTGTCACTTTTGCATGGTCAAGGGTATTCTGTTTAATTGCATACTTTAGTTAATAAAGAATTAACTAAAGGATTTTGTAAAATAGAAATAAATTTTTACTGGTGGTAAAACACAGTAATGGACTTCTACCTCACTTGTCTACATATGGTTGAAAATTTAGGAAGGTACATTTGTTTTGTCAAATGAATTTTGGATATATATTGTGGGTGTGTTGTGTTATTGTTAGACTTATTACAGCAGTATTTTGGATAGAATTCTTACACAGGTTAAATTAGATTTACCTGTGCAAAGTTATAATGAGTTTTAGGAATTTGTCTCTTTTAAGTACTGATGAAAATAAAGTGCCACATTAAATTTTTTCTTATTTCGTGAATCTTGGTAGAAGCTGAGTGCTTGCTTGCAGCTGGTTTTATTCCAAGGCATCTTCTTTGTTTGCAGACGGCCACTGGAGATACCATTGTCTCATCCAAGTCCAGCGCACTAGCTGCAACTCGTCGAGCTGAAAGGGAGGGAGAAAAGAAGCAGAGACACAACAGTGAAACAGAGAGACTTTTATTGGCTGGGGTGGAGATTCCAGAACCTGTTTTCTTCTGTACCATAGAACCCCCTTCGGTAGCTAAGCAGCCAGGTACAAATAGTGTTGGTGTATTAATTAATGAATGCCCTGATAATTTAGATAAAATAGTTTAATTTTATCAGCATTTATTGGTAAGTATTTCTTGTGATTGGCCTAGCTTTTTATTTAAAATGTTTTGATTTTTACAAACTCCTTCTATTTTTTCTTATATCTTGGCCATTTTTTTTCATATCATATTCTTAGTCCTTAGTCTTGTTCTTATAGTGCTACCTATGGGACTCTAAGTAATTGACCTCAGGACTGCCCTTCCCGTGTATTAAATTAGGAGCCAATTCATAACTGGCTCAGTTTCTCAACATGATTTATAAAATGCTACTTTTTCTTGATCAACCTTTGAAACTCAGTGAAGATATTTATATACTTTGTTAATGTCGATTGACCTTTCTGATCGTTATATACTTTGTTTTTTAGCATATTTGCTCAGAATTCTTCAGTGGCTTTTCATTACTTAAAGCAGAAACCCAAACTCTTTGGTATGATATATCTAGCTCATTATTCCAGTTATGTCACTTTCAATTAGATTTGGTTAAATATAGCAGAAAATCCCCAAATGACAGTTGCTTTAATGACAAAAGTTTGTTTCTCTCTGTTGTGAAATATACCTTGAGTTGGTAGCCTCAGGCTTAGAGTCCACAGTGGGCACCCAGCCTCCAATCTTTTGTCTTGGCTGTCTGAGTGCATCACTCCTGTCCTTAGTCATCTCAGGATGTCTGCTGGAGCCTTGGGCACCATGGAGTTCCCGGCAGCAGAAAGGAGGAATGGGGAGGAAGAAGATGTGCCCCTTTCTCTTTTAAGATTTCTTTCTCTTTTTTTAAAGTATATTTTTATTGATTTCACACAGAGAGGAAGAAACATCCATGATGAGAGAGAATCATGGATGAGCTGCCTCCAGCGTGTTCCCTACTGGGGATCGAGCCCTCAACCCGGGCATGTGTCCTTGACCTGCATCGATCCGGGACCTGAAGCTTCAGTCCACAGGCCGATGCTCTATCCATTGTGCCAAACTGGCTAGGGCCCTTTTAAGATTTCCTATATGTCATTGGCCATCACTTAGATATATGGCTACCCAGTTGCAAAGGCGTCTGGTAAACGCAATCTTTTAGCTTGGCAGCAGCAGAATAGAGTGGAGGTTACTTGGAATCTTTCTTGCCTGGCCTCATTTCTTGCATCTTCCTCCTTTGTTCTGAACCCTCATCTTTCACCCAAACAAAAATAAAAACAGAATAACAGTTTAAATGTGTGGAATAAGGTAGTTCATGAATCCATTGCTCAGCTCTTTACTTCAGCTACACTTTGTAGAACTTCTAACATCTTTTATAAAGAAGTAGGATATATGTATCATTTAATGGTTGTATTAAAGTATCACTTTTGATCGTGTATTTAATGAAAATAATATGTTCTTATTTCATCTCTTTGGCTGTGGTTATCATAGAGTGATTATATTACCATGTCTTTATTCATTATGTAATTTAGCTTCCTTTTATCTGATTCTCATTATTGCCTATTTTTCTGAAGGTATTTTGCTTTTTTTGTCAGCTCTTTGATTGATCTTTGCAGAGTATAATCAGATGATGCTACTGTCCACTTAAACCCTTCAGTGGCTGGCTTCTTATTGCAAATCCAGACTCTTCACCATGGCCCCCAGCTGCCCACCAGTGTCACACTACACACTGGCCTCCTTGTTGTTTTTCCAAAAGCCAGTTATTCCTTGCACAGCCATTTCCTCTGTCTGGAATTCTTTTTCTTCACCATTTTTTAATAAGGTTGCTTTTTTTTTTTATATGTCTTTACCCAAATCATCCTGGAGAGGCCTTCCCAGATCACCCAATCTCAAGTAACCTCCCATCTCCATCTTACCACCTTATTTTACTCTCTACAAAGCATGTATGGCTGTTGGAAATTTTCTTTTTTCAAAATTTGTTTGCTTGTTCATATATTTTCCTCACTATAATGTTTCCTCACTAGATATTTCATTATCTAAAATAACCATGTTGTTATTTTTATCCACCAGATTTGGATCATGCATTGAAATGCCTTCAACGTGAAGATCCCAGTTTAAAAGTGAGGCTTGATCCTGACTCTGGACAGGTAGGCGTATTGTTTCTTAATCCCAGATATCTGTCAATAATGTAGCATGCGTGTTGAAGTAAGTATATCTGAAACATTGATAGGTCTATGCCCCTGAAAAGAAACTTTCTTTTTTCGTTTTCATAATAATAAACTTGTAATTATTATGTTGACTATCAATCTAAATAGACAAGTTCTCCTTAATTCCTTAAAATAATTATACCTCACTTATATAAACTACTTTGCAACATTTAGACCATCCAGAAGAGAGCCTTTTGTGAAATTTTCAAATGAGGTTCAACCCCAAGACAAAGCCTTGAATCTCTTATACTAAGGCTTATAGAAGCAGCAAACTAAAGGGAGGGTACAAAGGGTCTCTTAATGATAATGACACAGATGGGTGAGAAGTGATATAGTTCAACCCAGCAATGTGGGAGGAAATAGAGTTCTAAAGTAGGTACAGAATTGGGCTGTATCTGGAGAAGAACAGATGTTTATTCTGTATCTTTTTAGGTGGACAAGGTAAAGTTTACATAAGATTTTAGAAAAAGTTGCTTAAAAAGATAAAAAATGCCGATACATATGTTTTAAAAATATCAAATGACACACAAGTACAGTGGGGCCTTGACTTACGAGTTTTTTGAGATACCAGCTGTCTCTCGGCCGATTTTTTGCATTGAGTTGATAGAGTAATTTGAGTTAACGAGCTCCTTAACGAGCTCGGTCTCGGAACGAATTAAACTCGTAAGTCAAGGCCCCACTGTATACAGGTTAAAGAATTAAAGTTTTCCTGTCTCTCAATCCTATTCTGCACAGGTAACCATTAAAAACTTGATGAATACCTGTATAGCCTTTCACACTTTTTTAAACATCTATTGGTTTGTTGTTCTGTTATATAAAGCACAGTATATTTTTTCTAAATATATATGTACATATATATAACAAGTTCTATTTGTATTATTCTACAACTTGCTTTTTTCCAAATAATTTACCTCTTTAACTTTACATGAGAGTATAACAATCACACACTGTCGTTTTTGTTGTTGTTCCTTACCATTGTAGTTTTATTACAGCAAAAGGATACAAATTAGAATCAACTAAAGTAAGAGATGCAAAGTCTGGGACAGTTCTTTTTTTTCCTCTTACATTAGCTATTAGCTTTTATTATTTATTTATTTATTCATTTATTTATTTAAAGTCTTTATTGTTGAAAGTCCCCTTTTTCCCCCATTGACCTGTCCCAGCCTGCCCCCACCCCCGACCCTAGGCCTTCACCATTCTATTTATTGTCTGTGTCCATGGGTTATGTATATATGCATACAAGTTCATTGGTTGATCTCTTCCCATCCGCCCACCCTCCCCTGCCTTCCCTCTGAAGTTTGATAGTCTGTTCGATGATTCTATGTCTCTGGATCTATTTTTTTTTCATCAGTTTATGTTGTTCATTAGATTCCACATATGAGTGAGGTCATGTGATACTTATCTTTCTCTGACTGGCTTATTTCACTTAGCTTAATATTCTCCAGGTCCATCCATAATGTTGCAAATAGTAAGAGTTCTTTCTTTTTTAGTATTCTGTTATGTGGATGTACCACAGTTTTTTAATCCACTCATCTTCTGATGGACTGTTTCCAAATCTTAGCTATTGTAAATTGTGTTGCTATGAACATAGAGATGCATGTATTCTTTCTGATTGGCTCAATCACATACTACCTGTGTGTTGACCTTTAGCCTACAGCACCTCCTGTAGGTTTGGGTTGGTACCTTTACTCTCCAGGTTGAAACTGATATGGCTGTTACAAAACCTGCATTATACAGTAGGTCCTCAGGTTACTTCGGAGATCCGTTTCTACGGCTCGATGTAATGCGATTTTCGCTGTAAGTCGGAACCCACCTATATAAGCACCTATGTCACTTACATGGAGCACACAGCAGTAATGAAGTGAAACAGTAAAAAAAAAATTAAAAGAAAGACAATTCCTGACCTTTACTTGTGGTAAATAATAAAAATCATAAAGCACATATGTACATATGACGGAACTTTTTTTTTTTTTATTAATAAGTGGGAGATGGCGATGTAACCATGAAACGATGTACGTCGAGTCCGACGTAACCCGAGGACTGTCTGTAAATCACATTGTTTGACTAGCAGCTTAGGGGTGGGCAAACTTTTTGACTCGAGGGCCACAATGGGTTCTTAAACTGGACCGGAGGGCCAGAACAAAGCATGGATGGAGTGTTTGTGTGAACTAATATAAATTCAAAGTAAACATCATTACATAAAAGGGTACGGTCTTTTTTTTTTGGTTTGTTTTATTTATTTCAAACGGGCCGGATCCGGCCCACGGGCCGTAGTTTGCCCACTAGCTGGTAGACAGAGCCCCCAAATAGGAAAAGATATTTCTATCAGGTAGTATCTTGACCTAGAGATAATCTCTCAGTCACTGAGGGCAACGGCCAGATCTCTCTTTGGGTAAATTCTTCACTACAGAGATGGCAAATGAATAAAATGGAGCAAATATGGACTTCTTGCCCTATACTCTTTCTCATACATAAGAACCTTCTTTAGGAATAGCCATTGTTGCTAAAAAAAAATGCATGTCTTGATTGCTTTTGATACAAATTTGGCTGTTCTAGCAAGGGCTCAAAATAACATTGGTTCATAGAAAATAAAAGTCAATTTCTGTCACATAAAGGCCGAAACTAGTCTGGAAGTTTGGACTGCCCAATAAGCTGTAAGGTGGCCGGGATGGTTGGGGATGTTTGGGAGAAAGGTTATTTCCCCATTTTATAAGATGTTGCCCTCATCCACATTCAAGATAGTTTCCTACCTTTTCCTTAAGATAATTTTTTCTTTCCTTGAAAGCACAGCCCAGAAGTTGCCAACATCAGTTACACTCAGATCCCATTGGCCAGAGCTTAGCTCTATAGTTGAGAAATGTAGGCCTCACTAGATGCCACTTGCTCAGCTGATAAGTATCATGGAATGGTAATATAATGGAAGAGAATGGCCTAGTAATTCACTTTTAATTAATAGTTCCAATCAGAAAAGTTAAAAACAGTGTTTTGATGTAGGAACCAAAAAAAAAAAAATTGCAAAAGAAACTCAGTTTGTAATTAATGAAAAATAACATAGACTGATATACCTTTATATAGTATTTTGTGGTAAACATTTTTTCTTGATGTTTGTTTTTCTTCTTTTTTTTAAACAAGACTGTCTTATGTGGAATGGGGGAGTTACATATTGATATTATTCATGACCGAATCAAGAGGGAATATGGACTGGAAACCTATCTAGGGCCTCTTCAGGTGGCATACCGAGAGACCATACTAAATTCAGTTCGTGCTACAGGTAAAATATAAAACATCTTCTGTTTTTGTTTATCTCTTTCTCTCCAGGATCTGTCTTCTGAATCTCTTGTTTAGTTGTAAGCAGGATTCATAGTCACTAGTATGACAGGTTTTATATGTGTGTTTTCTTGTTTGTTTGTTTTTAGGGTTTTAAAATTTTAAACAGCCCTATTCCATTATCACTCATTACATCTACTGGATGCGTGACTCATCAAGCAGATGTGATTTTCAGTGTCATGGAATAGAATGAGCCATGGAAGTTGGTGGCTTATCCTAGTCCTCACTTCCAGAATGAGTAGTTGGATCAGATGCATTCCAAAGAAAAGGGACTACTGTATAGATGAAGCTTTCTTTTTCATAAACCTAATGGTAACCACACACCCAAAACCCAAAACTGAAACACATAGCTTAAAAAAGGAGGAAATAGAGGAGTGAAGTTGATGTGTTATTTTTACTCTATAAAGTGAGTGGAAAATAATTTTCACTATTTAATAAATATGGTAATCCTATACTGATGAAAATGCAGTTTTTATATTTCTGTCCCAGAATGTAAGAATTCATGATTCATAGTTTTAATTTGGTTTCCCTTGACATTATTGCTGTTCTTCTTAAGGAGAAAACATGGACAGGTTTGTTTAAAAAAATATACAGAAAAGATGTTTAATATACCAGGTGCTTTTAGCCACTCAGTGATTTCTAAAAAGAACAAATGGTTACTTTTCACAAAAACTTTAAAAACTAAATGAATAGAATAAAGGAGCAAATGACACATGTATTTCTGTTTCTGAACTTAATACCTGGAAAAACTAAAAATGCTGGGAAAATATAAATAACACCTTTAAAATTAATGTCTGAGCTGGTTAGAACTTAGTGGAAATTTCCAAGGTTGAAAGGAAACTGAAGCAGGAACCTTGGAAAATAAGTTAGCACCAACACCACTAGATATGAGGGCCACATCCTCGTGGAAATAATTAACAAGGAAAATCTCCTTCATAAAAGAAAACAAGAAAACTTGTCTAACTGGCTCTGGGGGCAAGGGGCAGAATTTCTAAGAATGTGTAACCATAGGCTTCTGATGGGGCTTTCAGCCTAAATTTATAGAATCAGAATGACCTGAAAACCTTCAAACCAAGAAGAATTTAGTGTATAGTGCTCTCATGGGTTGGCAATATTCCCAGGAACCTGGTGACAACAAACAAAGGGCTTCTCTACATAAATGTATCTTCAGCCCAGGCCTCAAAGAAAATTCCACAGAAAAACAAATATGAAGTCACAGTTTTAAAAGTTTTAAAATCATAAAATCATGAGAAAAGGCACAATGAGCAAAAAGGCAATTGAAGCAACAAACATTCGTTAGACCAGCAAAGGCCTCTGAAATTGGAATTATCAGATGCAGAATATAAAATAAGTATATTGTTTTTTGAAGAAATAAAAGGGCAAGGAAAGTATTGATAAGGAACAAGACATTATCAAAAATAAGCAGGCAATGGAACATCATCTTGTGTAAGAAGGAAAGGAAATGCTCAAAAAATTATGAGGGCATGTCATAAGGACACAGGAACCAACTTGTAGAGGCTCCATTGGCCAAATCTGGGTTAATTTGAATACCAGAATAATTAAATACAGTAATTACAGACCACTGAGGAAAAGTAGGAATTCAGGAATCTCTAATCATAATAAACAAATACTTGGGGAAGAAGAGAGGGTTCTTATACTGGAATGCCAAGTGCTGCTAGTTGTCAAGGAGGCAGGAAAATAGTCATTTTGCAACTATTGTGAATGCTTAATGTTGGGTACATGGTTGAGTAGCATATTTGCATGGTTTTAAAATACCTACCCACAGATTGCTTATTAGTTACAAGGTTAAAAAAAAAGTAATTGGATGCTGCACAATCGGACCACACCTTGACTGGATGATCAAATTACTATTGATAATGAAGGGCAGATGGGCATTGTGTACATCCAAAAAATGGAAAATCATACTGTTCATAGAAAAGGAGACTAAATATCATGATGCTATCAATTCTACCCAAAGAAGTGTATCCGACATTAATACTTATTATAAAGCCATAGTCTTTATGATACTAATCAAGCTATAAATCGACCAGTAGAACAAATCAGAAAGCCTAGAAACAGATTCATACATAATGTGGGCATTGGGTTTATGTCCGAGTGATATTGCAGCTCAATGGGAAAGGATGGACTGACCATTCAGTAATGCCCTGGGATAATTATCCATATGGAAAAAGACGTAATTAGATTCCTACTTCATACCATTCACAAAAGTCAATTCCAAATGAGTGTAAAAACCTAAATATGAAAGAAGAGCTGCCAAATATCCCTCAGAGCACAAAATATAAAGGAAATAAGTGCTAATATATACCAAAATAAAATTAAAAACCATAAACTTTATTATAGGCAAACCTTCAAATTTTGGGAAGAAAATATAGGGGAATAACTTTATTAACCAGGATAGGGTTGGACTTACATAATATCAAACACTGAAATGGTGAAGTAAAGGTTACTAAATTTGATGTTATTAAAATTAATAATTTGCTTATTAGAATAGATGACAAAGCAAAAAGATATACCGAAAGCTAAGGGAAGATATTTGCATCATATAAATTAATAAAAGATTAGTTTCCAAAATGTATAAAGAATTTCTAAAGATCACCAGAAACACCAATCAGAAAGGATATATGCACCCATATGTACATAGCAGCACAATTCACCATAGCTAAGATCTGGAAACAGCCTAAGTGCCCATCAGTAGATGAATGGATTAGAAAACTGTGGTACATCTACACAATGGAATACTATGCTGCTGTAAAAAAGAAGGAACTCTTACAATTTGCAACGGCATGGATGGAGCTGGAGAGCATTATGCTAAGTGAAATAAGCCAGTCAATGAAGGAAAAATACCACATGATCTCACTCATTCATGGATAATAGAGACCATTATAAACTTTTGAACAATAATAGATACAGAGGCAGAGCTGCCTCACACAGATTGTCAAACTGCAGTGGGAAGGCCGGGGAGGGTTGGGGGGCAGGAGGGAGGGGGGTAAGAGATCAACCGAAGGACTTGTATGCATGCATATGAGCATAACCAATGGACATAAGACACTGGGGGGTAGGGGAAGCCGGGGTATTGTCAAGGGCGGGGGAAAAAAAGGACACATATGTAATACCCTTTGTAATGCTTTAAGCAATAAAAAAAATAAAATAAAATAAAATATTCATGCAGATTAAAAAAAAAAGAATTTCTAAAGATCAGAAAAACCTGACAACAAAGTAGAAAAGTGAGCAAAAAATATTGAACAGATATTTCACAAAAGATGATACCCAAAAGGCCCATGAACATATTAAATAAAAGATTCTCAATCTCAGTAATGATTAGGATCATACAAGAATATGAGACACCATTTTATATCAACAAAATTGGGAGGAATTAAAATCTGACTGCAAAGTGGTGAGATATTATGCTTTGGAAACTCTAATGGGAGTCTAAATTATATAACCACCATGCAAACAATTTGACAACCTTGTAAGTTGACCATTTTCATATCATACTATTCAGCAATTCTGCACCTAGGTATCCCTAGAGAAATGCTTATACATGTGCATGGAAAGACATAAAAATCTTCACAATAGCACTGTAATAATATTTTTTTTTAAATAGTAAGTGAAAAAATAACCCAAATATTTGTGGACAGAAGAATAGATAAATAAATGGTACCATAGTCAGACAATGAAATATTATATAGCAATGAAAAATAATGGGCTCTATCAACAGATATCAGCCTGTATGACCCACTAATGTGAAGCCAAAAAAAGCAAGTTGCAGTATACATAACAATAAACAAGTTCAGAATGAAGCAGAAATAAACTATTGTTTAGGGATACATACATATGTGATACAACTCTAAAAAAAATCATAGTAATGATTAAATATGATGTCATGATAGTGGTTGCTTCAGAAGGTTTCTAGGTTACTGGTAATGTTCTCTTTCTTTAGTAATTATAGGTTTCTTGAATGTTCATTTTATTTTCAGCTTATGCACATATCTTAAGTATAAAATAATTCACAATATAAAAGTTAGCTTAGAAAGGAATTATGGCCCTAGCTGATTTGGCTCAGTGGATAGAGCATTGGCCTGTGGACCAAAGGTTCCCAGGTTCGGTTCCAGTACTTCAGTTGCAGGCTTCTCCCTGGCCCGGGGCCCTGGTCAGGGCTCACACAGGAGGCAACCAATCATGTGCTTCTCTCAGATTAATATTTCTTTCTCTTCCTCTCTCTCTAAAAATAAATGGAAAAATACCCTTGGGTGAGAATTAAAAAAAAAAAGGAATTAAGAAGAGGAATTGTAGACTATAATTACTTGTTTTGAATTTGGACCATGAATCACTGCATTACATAGTCATATAAATGTAGCAGTTTTGTTTTAGTAAAATACTGCAGATTGGTGACAGCTATTGGTTGTTAGCTAATGAGAGATACTATTTTCAGTATCTCTGATATTTTCAGTTTTACAAAAAGACATTTCACTAGTTTGGGGGGAAGCATAAACTTCAAATACATATTATTAGAAGAATATATGAGATTTAACTGTGTATGTTTTATCAGGGTTAATGTCCTTTTAATTTTCATTAGATGAATTTTTGCACTCTGAATGTTTACTTTTCAGTAAAACTTTTGTGATTAGAATTTCAGTCACATAAGAGATGTTTCAAAAAGTTTGAGTATAATCTGCATATCAAAATTTGTGTGATCATCTCCTGCAGAGTATCTTAACTAAAACAGTATTAGTTGGTGATTCAGAGCAGGCTTATAGCATTGATAAATGTGAAAGCAGATATTTTCTTGGTAGAACTACTTACGAGTACTTTGACATTTTTATACTGCATTTAGTATTTTCTCAAACTTTGTCTTCCATGAGAGCTTGAACTTGTTGATTGCAGTTTTCCCACTTGTGGCACCTTGACAACTTTTCAGAACAAATCTCTGTATATTCGTTTACAGATACCTTAGATAGAACTTTAGGAGATAAACGGCACCTTGTGACTGTTGAACTGGAAGCAAAGCCAACTGAAACATCATCTGTTGTGCCAGTTACCGAGTATGCTGCAAGTATTAGTGAAGACATTTTGAAGGGCTCCCAAGAGGCCATTGAAAATGGAATTCATAGTGCATGCCTCCAAGGTAAGGTACCTCAGATAAGAGTAAGCATGAATATCACAATCAGTCACTCCCAATACTACCTATTATTTCAGTCTCTCTTCCCATCACGTATATGTTACACCTTTTATAATTATCCCATCGTCCTTGGATATTCTGTTCTGTTTTTTTAGTCTTATGTTCAGTTTGCTTTTTCAGTTTTGGAGGTTTCTGCTGATATATAACTCAGAGAGAAATAGGGGGGGAGAGAGACAGACAGACACATCGATCGGTGGCCTCCCATATGCGTCCCGACTAGGGGTCGAACTGGTGTACAGGACGATTCTCTAACGAACTGAGCCACCTGCTAGGGCTGACTCGGAGACTAGTTTCCTCAGCCTGTCCTGCCTACTTGTAAGCCCATCAGAGGCATCCCTATTTCTGTGATGGTGCTTTTGAGCTCCAGCATTTGTTCGGTTCTTAATCAGGACTTCGCTCTATCTCTGCTTTCATGCCCATTCATTCTTACATGCTGTCAGCTTTATCTGTCAGAGCCCTTAACACATTAATCATAGTTGATTTACATTCCAGGTCTGATCATTCCAATATCCCTGCTGTGTCTGGTTCTGATGCTTGTTCTATTTAAATTGTGCTTTTTGCCTTTTAATATGCCTTGTAATTTTTTCTTGATAGCCAGTCATGGTATACTGGGTAAAAGGAACTGCTGTAAACAGGCATTTACTAGTAGTAATGTAGTGAGGTGTGGGGACAGGCAGCCTTCTATAGTCCTAGGATTAGGTCTCCATCTTTTAGGGGTTTTTTTTTTCACTCCCCTTAGGGTGGGACAGGATGGCTAGAGTGCACTGGAATAGGGCACTTCGCCCATCAGGCTCTGATGGTGATGATACCCTTGCAGGTTAGGCTTTGGTTACTAAGTTCCCCTGAGTGCAGGCCTTGTTAGGAACAGAGTGCTCTGGCCCTTGTCAGTTACCTCAGTTCGTTAGAGCATCGTCTGGCTACACCAAGGTGGCAGGTTTGATCCCCAATCAGGGCACATATTAGTACGAGAGTCAACCAATGAATGCATCAATAAGTGGAACAACAATTCGATGTTTCTCTCTCTTTCCCTCCCTCCTTTCTTCTCTCCCTCTCAAAAATCAATAAATTAGAAATGAAAAGAGTGCTCTGAAGTCTGAAGTACTGTTGTTTTTTCAATCCTCACCCAAGGATTTTTTAAATTGATTTTAGAGAGAGAAACATTGATGTGAGAGAAACATTGATTGGTTGCCTCCCACACATGCCCCAACCGAGTATTGAACCTGCAACCTAGGTATGTGCCTTGACCAGGAATTGAACCTGCAACCTTTCAGTGTATAGGACAACACTCCAACCAACTGAGCTACCCAACTAGGGCCTGAAGTACTGTTTTGTTGGTGGAATCCAAGGATGCGAAAGCAATGGATACAAAGGGGAAGGGGCCAACTCTAAGTTTTAAAGGAGTCAAGAATTACACGCAGGTTTTTGTCTGCTTGGGGGTCGGTTCCCCTAAATTCCCTGCGTTTTCAAGGGTCAACTGTATTTCACAATTATTTTTCTTCTTCCCCCACGAAGCACCAGGAGGCTTTTCTCTGATAGTTACTGTGAGAACCTGCTCGAGCTCCTGGAGGTAGATCTCACAGAATTGTGTCCCCTTCATGACAGCTCCCCCCAAGCTTGTCCACACCAAGCCTCCAGTCATTTGTCAATGACAGCTCAGTTTTTCTTACCCTGGTGCTGGTTCCTGGGCGTTTTCTCTAGTAAGTCTTTGCTCCAGGAAGCCTTGACCCTCTGCATTTGCCCTCGCTCCATTCTTAGGAGCAGGAGTTTGTCCTTTGTCCTCCCACCTTGTAGATCCAAGAAGAGCTGTTGATTTGTCAGGCTGTTTCCTTCTACTTGTTGTTAGGACAGAGTGGTGACTTCCAAGGAAGCTCTTTACGTGCTAAACTGGACGTCCTCTCCCTGTTTGTTTTTTTAAAATATATTTTATTGATTTTTTACAGAGAGGAAGGGAGAAGGTTAGAGAGTTAGAAACATCGATGAGAGAGAAACATCGATCAGCTGCCTCCTGCACACTCCCCACTGGAGATGTGCCCGCAACCAAGGTACATGCCCTCGACCGGAACCGAACCTGGGACCCTTCAGTCCGCAGGCCGACGCTCTATCCACTGAGACAAACCGGTTAGGGCCTCTCCCTGTTTCTTTACATTTCTCAGCTACTCCTCACTGCATATTGAGTCCTAATACAAATGTTCCCCCTTGCCTAGGACCATTGCTTGGATCCCCAATTCAAGATGTGGCAATTACTTTACATTCACTGATGATTCATCCTGGTACCTCCTCAACTATGATTTCTGCCTGTGTCTCAAGATGTGTACAGAAGGTATATAACTACCCTAATCCTTTTTGCTTTAAGGTGACTCTTCTGACAGTAGTGGACTCTGATCCGGGGCAGTCTTTGCTTCCTGAGCCTTGTAGTCAGAGTTTTTACCATGGAGAATTTTTGATTTTTTTAATCACTGGGTTTTATTTGCAAGAGGATCTAAGGAATCACTGTTTAACATAGTTAGCTATGAAATATCCCTTGGCTTTGACAAATAGTCAAGTTTCCTTAAGTGGCAGCTCTGCTTTCCCTACCTCAGACACATAGCCGATAGAAACAAGCATGGTAGGTTTGAGTGGAAGACATTTCCGGGGTCAGCTTGGCCAAAGGTGAACTATAATCTAAAGGACATTGAGGATCTAATATTGGTTCCAATATTGGAGTTCCTATTTATTCAAGTAAGATTACTTTAATCAAGAATTGCTGCATAGCCGAAACCGGTTTGGCTCAGTGGATGGAGCGTCGGCTTGCGGACTGAAGGGTCCCAGGTTCGATTCCGGTCAGGGGCATGTACCTGGGTTGCGGGTGCATCCCCATTGGGAGGTGTGCAGGGGGCAGCTGATCGATGTTTCTCTCTCATCGATGTTTCTAGCTCTCTATCTCCATTCCTCTCTGTTAAAAATCAATAAAATATATTTAAAAAAAAAAGAATTGCTGCATAATAGATTCAGGATAAGCATCTTTCCTTCTCAAAGCATCAAGCAATCTGGTCGTCTTGGCATGGTTACCCAATACCTACTGGGGCTGGATTAACCCCAAGGGTCCTGATATGCCAAGAAACCGTTCCATGCATTCCTCAGTGTGGGAATGCTTTAGCCTCGTATGTGACTGATTTTGCATTAAAATACTTGCTTTTATAACCATCTTCTAATATTTTACACTGAGACCTGGTTTTCTATAGTCTTATTTGAATCCATAATTATAAAATTAACTTACTTGAATCCATAATTATAAAATTAACCCCAAGCTCCTGACTTAAGAAGGCTGAACTTATTATCTCTACCGTAGAAGTTAAAATTCAGACTTTGTGGTTGTTAACCCCCACGTGAGGACATTTTTCCATTGATTTTTAGAGAGAATGGAAGAGAGAGAGACAAACACCAATGTGAGAGAGAATTATGGATTAGCTGCCTCCTGCACACCCCCTACTGGGGACAAAGTCTGCAATCTGGGTATATGCCCGGATTGGGAATCAAACCGGTGACCCCTTAGTTCCTGGGTCTACGCCCAATCACTGAGCCACACCTGGCTGAGCTAAGGAAACTTTTAAACAGAAATTTGACTTCCAATTTAGAAATGGATTGGCATTCTTTAACATTTTTAGGCTCTGAAGACGGCTGATAAGCAAATTTTGGAGCCCTTGATGAACCTGGAGGTCACTGTGACTAGAGATCACCTCAGCGCTGTCCTGGCAGATCTGGCACAGAGAAGAGGGAGCATCCAGGAGATCCAGACTCGTCAGGACAACAGAGTTGTTGTTGGGTTTGTTCCCTTAGCAGAGACCATGGTAGGTACCGTGTCACTGAAAAGTACATGTTCTTAATATAGGGACAGATAGGCTGAGCAAAAAGAGAATCAGTGACATCTGAAAGAAGCATCAGGGCTTTGAGGTAGAAGATGCATGTCCCGTTTCAGCCATCGGGAACTATTAGGACTTTGAATTTAAATTGTAGGAGATTCAAGCAGCATGGGGGTCCTTTCCAGTCCTCCATGGTGGTAGATGTGTGTTGAACCAAAACATGGCACCAGCCTACCATTTTGTCCCTTCCAAGTTCTTAGCCTGTTTCTTCAATTGCCAGTTTTTAGGCAAGTGTCATTCTCCTACCACCAGCCTCTCTGCTCCAGAACAAGCACCTGAGTGCTGGCAGTCATCTTACCAGATGCCGGGACCAGGGAAGACACCTGAAACACACCAGTGTTTTCTGTCCACGTTTCAAATTTTTCCTGAGAAAAATTATTCAATGACCATTTGAAGAAGTGATATGGTTAAGTTACTTAATCACCTTTTCTGGTACTGGTCAAAAGATAAGTGGCAGGAAGAGAAATTTGAGGCTTAAATTGGAAGAGATAACTGATTTGAATTGTTTTGATTAGGGTTATTCAACTGTGCTTCGAACGCTAACATCAGGCTCAGCTACGTTTACCTTAGAACTCTCTAATTACCAAGCCATGAATCCTCAAGACCAAAGTACGCTGCTCAACCGAAGAAGTGGCTTGACCTAAGTGCTTCGAGGTCCTTGGGGAGAAGTTCAGGAGCACCTACCTATTCGTTTTTAGTAAGAACAATTTTTATTGCTTTACTTATTGGACAAATTACTGTTTCAGTACATTCTTGAAGTGACTGAAAAATCTCAGTTAAAACTGACAGTGGCATCATAGCTTCCATTCTACTTTATGTCATGAGAAATGTGCTTTGATGTTGAGAGTTAATGTACCTGAACTATACCGAGGTTATTACTGTCAGTAAAGACACAGCCCTTTGGAATATATTGAGTAATATCACCAAGTTATATTATTTTTTTAAGCTTCTCTCACAAAAATATGCCAGTCTTGTATATGTAATGTGTAAGGTAGCAGTTCAATCAATACAAAGATATTTTATTTATACACAGTGTACCAAATCTTAATTTTACATGATTTCAAAACAAGTTGATTGTAGTAGACAGCTCTGGGCCTTTTCCCCTCCTAGTTTCAAATCATTTCAACACATTGTCACAATATCCAGTAAAAAGAGGTTCTGCAGCTATTCCGCGTCTGTAGAACAGATAGAGAATAAAAGATGTTTTAGATTGATATCACTCATTTCCATCTTAAAAACTTAGTAGTTTAAATCAGAATCACCAACCATAGCATTCATTATTTTTAAAAGATTGTTAAAAGTGATTCAAGATGGAGGTCCAAATTTAACATAGCTATAAAACAGTTAATTCCAAATATATCTTCTTCTTATAGGTATTATTCCCTAATTAAGTCACTACTTCTTAGATTATATACATTGCTTCTTGGGTATTTTTGCTATAAATAGAAAACTAACAGTGTATAAGGTTAAAAGTCACCCTGGACTTAATAATATACCAGCTTGAAAAGCAGACTTACCGGACCATTCTGCAGCGGTGAACTGTTAGTCTTCTGTAGGCATCATCTAAACTTCTGACGTCTTGCCGACTCCAGAGTCTCTCGCCGATAGCACTTGCCCGAGGCCTAAAATGTAAACCATATGTCTCCCAAAGCATTTTAAATTCATTCATTCTTAAAGAAGTGAGTATCTAAGTCAGGGGTCCTCAAACTTTTTAAACAGGGGGCCAGTTCACTGTCCCTCAGACCGTTGGAGGGCCGGACTATAGTTTAAAAAAAACCTATGAACAAATTCCTATGCACACTGCACATATCTTATTTTGAAAAAAACAAAATGGGAACAAATACAATATTTGTATTTGCATGTGGCCCGCGGGCCGTAGTTTGAGGACCCCTGGTCTAAGTCTTATGTGGCAGGGGGGGCGGGGGCGCGTGGGGAGAGAATTCCTAATGCTTTCCGACTTGGATGGAGAAGGAAAACTAAGGCACCTTAATTCAAATGTGATCACTTAAATTCCATACCATAGTCTCGGAGAGAGGTTAGTTGCATCCACGTATTCTCCCCACAGACAAGCTTCTCCACCAATGACAAGTTGTTTCTGTTCCTGAGTACCTACATTAAAATCATTGGATTGATGTACGTTAGTAGTTGCAGCTTAAGGCTTAGAAACAGAAGGCTAAGTCAGTATTGCCTCTATCTTTATCCCGGGGCTGCATTTTTCTCCTGTGTCAGCAGAATCTTGGGAGATTTCATGGTAGTGGCACAAGAAAAGGTGGCAAACTTTATTCCTGCCCCCGACCCTGTGGTTCACACAGTGCTTTTTAGCATGTGTCAACTATGTGGTGGGCCAGTATTAAAGATACCATTTTATATTGGTTTTCTGCAAACTGATTTGGTCACCAGAAACATTTTTTCCCCTGGTTGCCTATGAATAGTGTACCAGGGAACACAAATTGGAATACTAGTGACCACCACTCCTGTCTTTGATATCTGTCTCTTGGTAGTAAAAAAGAGACCAACTACCTAACACCTAATCCCAATCAGGGCACATACCTAGTTTGTGAATTTGATCCCCAGTCAGGGTGTGTATGGGAGGCAACTGATCGCTGTTTCTCTCTCTTCCTCCCTCTCTCTCTAAAATAATAACAGTAATAACATATCCTCAGGTGAGGACTGAAAAAATGTAGGTAGAGAGTAACAAGACTCATCCGTGAAAATTGAGATAAAATCTAAGGGAATCCACTTTTGAAGTTCTTTTATTTAGGTAAGGATTTGGTTTATTTCACATTTCAAATAATACTGAGGCCTTCCTTTTTAAGTAAACACAAAACCAAGGATCAAACATAAAAGGGAGGAGAGTTAGTAGGTAATACCGAGGTAAGGATTTCCTGGAGGGGAGGGGAGTGAAGAAAATCCGGGTAATGATGTTGCTTCACTTACCACTAAAATTGAGAGGTTCCACTGCATAGTATAGTCTCCAGTCTTGTCCATAACTGATCCTGTCCAAGTACCACGGAGCAGAGATGATCACAGGGAAGCCAGCTGCTGTGATTGAACTCAGTTCCTTAGCATAATTTTGCTCTTTCCATACTTGAACTACAGTGCCTGGCTGAAGCTATTAAAGTTAAAAATTGCAATATATATTATTAGGTCTAGCAAATTCAGTAGGTGATATTTAAAGTCCAAGACTTGTAACTAGAAAACTAACTTTAAGATCCTTGAAAAACTTAAACATTGTCATCTTTACCCTTCCTCTTCAGTTAGTGTCAAATGCTATTTCTTATAGAGACTTAAATTTAGAAGTTGCATTAACCTTCAGGTTGGACACTTAACTTTTGCCTATTTATGACACCATACAGGTGTGATGAACCAAGGCTTTAGTCCCATCCTACCACACTATTGTTTTACTTACTTTCAAACTGTGAGGATGCCGACAGCCCTTCGGGAAAGCTCATACTAATTGCTGGAGTTGCAAATTCTCAGTTGCCCCAAAGGAAAATAAAGAATTCTGACTAAGAATTAGAGAGATGCCATGTAAAATAAAAAGTGTACATTGGCAATTTTACCTAAAACTACCTTAATAGCAGTGAAGACTCATTTGTTCTTATCTGTTCTGCCCTTTCCTGGAAAAAAAAAAAAAAAAAAGGAGCTTCAAAGTACTCCCATTTGTGATTAATGAGATGGCAGGAGATGAGGGAAAAGATGAGGAGGAGGCATGAAAGAGTGAAGTAAATGGAAGAAAAGAAACAAACACCATTAATACTGGCCTCAGTGCACAGCTACTGCCTAATAAAAGTTTAAATGGAACAGGAAGCTAATTTCCCTATAGTGTTGGGGAATGGAGATATTAGAACATGAAGCCTGTCATAGTATCAGAGTCAAATGTAGTTTTCATACTTCTCACCTTTGCGTTATTATCAAAAACCTCTTGCCAGACTATGGATCCCTTCTTTAGAGTTGAAATAATATTCAAAAGCCTACCATTGGGGGAGGGAAAAAAGTTATTTCAGATCACAAGCTTAACAATATGTTGAAAGCATGCATATTTTCTACCAAGGACTGAAACACTGAGAGGTACCTTTCAATATAGCACAGCTTTATAGCAGAACCTGCTAAATTTGGTGATAAGCCATGTGGCTCCTTCCTAGAACATGGCTCAGAAGCTGACACAGAGGGGTTTAACAGTCATCTGCTGAATGAATGAGCTAATAAGCATGCGCCCAAAATAGGAAGACAGGGCAGCTAACAGGGAAATGTACAAACAACAATCTTTAGTAATTTCATGGGTATCTTAGAAACTATGATCTAGACCAGCGGTTCTCAACCTATGGGTCGTGACCCCTTTGGGGGTCGAACGACCCTTTCACAGGGGTCGCCTAAGACCATCCTGCATATCAGATATTTACATTACGATTCATAACAGTAGCAACGAAAACAATTTTATGGTTGGGTCACAACATGAGGAACTGTATTTAAAAGGCCAGAAGGTTGAGAACCACTGATCTAGACTATAATGTCATCTAAATAACACTTAACAGTTGCTGACAATCAGTCCATAAGTATTTCCTGATATTTAGACAATGCCATGAACTCTGCAGGATAAAAAAAAAAAAAAGAATGTATCATACAAAAAGCTAAATAGGAAAAGACTAGAATCTGGGCTTGCCCAGTGCAGGCAAACTACAGCCTGTTTTTGTGTGGCTCATGAGCCAAGAATGGTTTTTACATTTGTAAAGTATTCAAAATAAAAAAAAAAAGTGCAACCAGATGTGGCCTGCAAACCTATTTACTTTCTGGCCTTTATAGAAAACAGTGTACTGGTCCCTCGTATAGAACAGCACTGCCCAGTAGAACTTTCTGCAGTGGTGGAAGGGTTCTTGTCTATGTACCTTCCCATATGGGAGCCACTAACGAACCCCATCCAGCTATCGGACACTTGAAATGTGGCTATTGTGACTAAGGAACTGAATTTTTAATTCCTTTAACTTAAATGCAAATAGCCACATGTGGCCATGGCTACCGTACTGGACAGATATAAAGTAAAAAAATGGTCCTGGAAATGAATTACAGGGGCTGGATGGTGGTGAGGACTTCATAGGGTAGCCAAGGGCTTTCAGTTGAGTTCCTAGAACACATGTTTGCTGTCCTATCGTTATTGCAAAAGACTTAGTTACCATGTTAACTGATTTGAAGAAAGCAGTGGATCATGCTTCCTTCTTTATGATTTTTCATGCAAAGTATACAACATCTACACTTTAGCAAGGGGTGGAGAGAAAATAAAGCAGTACTAGTCATAGCTAAAAGTTTTACAAAAGGCATTGATGAAATTAAGTAGGCTTTCAAGTAACTTACTTTTGAATATAGAAAGATTCTAGTTTACTAAAATCAGTGCCAAAGCCTTTCTGCTTCATGAAAGTCTGGATATTTGGATTGGACTCCCTTAAAAAAAAACAAAAAAACAATTAAAATTTCATTAGTTTGATATGCCCAATCTATTTAAGGCAGCGTACATCTTACCATCATTTGTGCCAATTTAAAACTGTTAAAGTTGTAGAGTAAAAATAAGCTTAAAAACTTAGTTATGAGTTATCTTTATTTTCCACAACAAATAATTTTTTTCCAGAAGCTGATTTCTTGTAAAAATGGCTTTCCCTACCTCCTGCCTCTCTCCTCCATTTATGGCTATTCGCAAAGAGGATTTTTTATTTGAAAAATCCCCCTCACTTACTCACTGCCCTCTTTCACTAAAGCTGTTTTCATTCACTATAGTCTTTTTTTGTTAAGTCTCCATTCTCTTCTGCATTTTGATTCTCCTTCCTAAAAGGTTTTGTTTTCTCATACCACCCCAAATTCACCATCTCAGGAGTTGTGTTGCCAAATGAAAACCGTGCAAGCAGAGATGATATCCCAAATCTTTCCTTTCCATGTGGAGGCCTTTAAACCTACTTCAAATGCAACGGTTAAAGAAAATAAGGGTTTTAAAGAATTGTCATACCAACAATCATATTCCACTTCATCTCCTCCCAAGTGAATGAACCGATCTGGAAACACCCAACTGATTTCTTTGAAGAGCTTATACAGGAAACTGTAAGTTGTATTCAAAGTAGGGTTTATAGGTCCAGAAGCTTCAGGCTGATGGGACCTATAACATGGAGTCAGGAGACCTTCCTGACCTGGGGAAAAACAAGAAGATTCTTTCCTTAAAAAGTAATTTGATTACAAAGATATGGCTTAGCACATGACCACAGACTTTCTTTTGTTGGAGAGCTGTTTCCCGAATCCTATCCCAGTACCTCTTTGTTTCCTTTCCATCAGCCTCTGAGATTTTATCCACTTCAAATATTATCTTGACTAATGATTCCCAAATCTTCAGCTTGCCCCAACTCTTTTTTTTTTAAATATATTTTATTGATTTTTTACAGAGAGGAAGGGAGAGAGATAGATAGTTAGAAACATCGATGAGAGAGAAACATCGATCAGCCGCCTCCTGCACATCCCCCACTGGGGATGTGCCCGCAACCCAGGTACATGCCCTTGACCGGAATCGAACCTGGGACCTTTCAGTCCGCAGGCCGACGCTCTATCCACTGAGCCAAACCGGTTTCGGCATCTTGCCCCCAACTCTTTCTTGAGCTTCCAGCCATATTTCAGATTCCTTGCTCAACACAATTAAAAGCTCAACTTCACTATCCTATCTGCACTTCAAATACAATCCAACAAAAACTAAATTTATGTTCCCTAAGCTCCTTCAGGAGCTTCTCTTGATCTTTGTATTCTGGTAAGGGCACCACCATCCTCCCAGTCTATAGCTCTTCCCCTTCCTCCTAAAGTCAGTAAGTTGCCAAATTCTATGGATTATTTTTCCAAAATGTCTCCCAGTTCTGTACATTATTTTCCATTAGGACTTCAGTATCTTTCCCCTTCCAATCTGTCACTTTCACTTCGGTTTTCCTGAAGTGTGGCTCCCTCGTGTCACTCTTCTGCTTTATAACTTTCACTGGTTTCTAGGTATCCTGATGAAGAGACCACATTCCTCAGGCAAGACCTCTCCATTGCACTTTTCCAGATTTATTTCCCACTATTCTCCATGTCTACCCTAATAGTATTTATTAAACAGTTATAAATGGTAGTGGCTGTACTGTGTGCTTTACATTCATTATTTAATCCTCAAAAAGTTACATGGTAACTACTGCTAACATTCCCATTCTAGAGATGGGGAAACTGAGGATGAGATGTTCTATAATTTGTCCAAGGTCACTCAGTTATAAGCAGCAGAAGCAGGATTCAAGCCCAGGCAGTCTGGCTCCAGAGCCCGTTCTTAACCACCCTGTAATAAAAATTCCTCCTACTCTGCCTTTTCTCATGTTATTCCCTCCACCAGAAACACAAATATATTCTTTAATCTCTCAGAAGCATTGTGTTAGCTCATCCATAAAACCATTTCTTTGTGTGTGTGTGTGACTTTTATTGATTTCAGAGAGGAAGGGGGAGAGAGAGAAACATCAATGATGAGAGAGAATCATTGATTGGCTGCCTCCTGCACGCCCCCTACTGGGGATTGAGCCTGCAACCCAGGCATGTGCCCTTCACCAGAATCAAACCCAGGATCCTTCAGTCTGCAGGCCGACGCTCTATCCATTGAGGCAAACTGGCTAGGGTGATAAACCATTTCTTGAATTCACTTACTGAGTTCTACTTGTCATAGTCACTTTTTATGTTTTCCTTTATCCTGTTTGTATACTTTAGGCAGTGCCTAGATACAGCAACTTGCTCACAACAGACACATAATAGTTACTGAATTATTATCTGTCAATAGTGCTACTTTTTGTGTAAATCACAACTAAGAACAAAATGAGCCAACACCAAGTCATAAAATAAGAGATGCAGGACCTCAAATGTTCACTTTTTGCAACTCATAAAACACGTACCTTTTCCCCAAGACTGTGTGTGTCCGGGGCTATCAAATTCCGGTATGACTCGAATCCCCCGTAATCGGGCATATTCAATCACCTCACGGACTTCATTTGGTGTATAAACATGAGAGAGAGAATAGCTTCCCTGTAAAAACCACATTGATTAAAATTTAAATGTATGAAATGCATCCTGAAAACTGTTAACAGTCCTGATTGCAATTTGATATCTCATAGCTGATTTTTTTCAGTATCACAATGTATTAAATAGTTCCATGTGACGTAGCATGACTCATTTAAATTACTTACCATATCTTATCTCCATAAGCTTTCAGCATACTTTAGATTAATTCCACATTTACTGTGGATCTATCTAAAACAACCCCTCTTGTTTCAGGAATGTCTTCCATTATTCTGTGTCAACCTCATGTAACCATACAAGACAGAAATAAAATGTTTGATTCCAAAGTGCAACCTCTGAAAATGAAATACATTGCCCTTGGCAACTTAGAATAAAAGTTTACAGGTTACTACAAAGCATAACTATTTCTCTTAAAGTCACTTTAAATACTATCAGCTTTAAAAATTCCCCCAGAAACACTCTGGTAAGTGACCAGCTATTTCTTTAAGGTTACCCTCAGTTTCTTTATAGGTCACTTGAAAAACTAGAACTCAATACTGGTTGTAACTAAAGATAAAGGTCCATTGAAGGTATTACTGTAGCACATTTCTCAAGGTATAAATATCCTCCTATATAATAAAAGCCTAATATGCTAAGTGTCCGGTCATCTGTTCAACCAATCAAAGTGTAATGTGCTAATAATATACTAAGGCCACTCAACCACTCGTTATGACATGCACTGACCACCAGGGAGCAGACGCTCTGATTGGTAGGTTAGCTTGCTGCTGGGGTCCGGCCAATCGGGACTGAGCGAGACGGGCTGGACACACCCTGGGGCTCTCCCAAGGTCCCTCCCTGGCTGGCCAACCTCCCCCATCCCTCCTCAGTCTGGCCTACACCCTCTTGCAATCTGGGACCCCTCCGGGGATGTTGGAGAGCCGGTTTCAGCCCAATCCTGCAGGCCAGGCCGAGGGACCTCACTGGTGCATGAATTCGTGCACTGGGCCTCTAGTAATATATAAATATATGTGTAATATATAAATATAAATGCTCAACTCCTAAAATTAGCCTTGCCCCATCTCCCAAATCAAATTTGTGTCTAATCAAGATTAGATCTAATATCCAGTCCACCAGTTTAAAGTAAATACAAAAGAACATGTTGACACTATGGGAATGCAATTAGCAAAACCCAGACTATGGGAAACTATTTGGACAAATTAATTTCTTCATCAAAAAATAACAAATTCTAAGGGAAAAAAGCCCAACTGGAGTGGCTTCGTGGTTGAGCATTGACCTATGAAACGGGGTCATGGTTTATTCCTGGTCAGGGCACATGCCCGGGTTGTAGGCTTAATCCCCAGTATGGTATGGGTCATGCAGGAGGCAGCCAATCAATGATTCTCTCTCATCATTGATGTTTCTATCTCCCCCTCTCTCTTCCTCTCTGAAATCAATAAAAATATATATTTAAAAAGAGAGAGAGATAGACTCTGGCTGGTATTGCTTAGCAGTTAGAACATCAGACCTTGAACTTACTAAAAGGTCGTGATTCAATTCCTGGTCAAGGGTTTGTACCTGGGTTGTGGTTTGCTCCCTGCTCCCATCAGGGCTCATGCAGGAGGCAATCAGCCTCCGCCCCCCTCCCCCCCCCCACTCCTGTTCTCCTTTCTATATGAACTGACCACAATGTATGGACCTTACTTGTACCTCAATGCAATTTTTTTTTTCTTTTTAAGAAAAAGGCCTTTGGGAAATGGCTGTCTAGATTTTTAATTTTTTTAGCTGCAATAACGTTTTGGTGTTTTTTGTTGTTGCTTTTAAACAGCCCCTTTGCAAATGAGATAGGACGTCTTGGATTTGCTTCAGAATACTGGCGGGAGAAGTACAGGTGATAGAAGATTGGCTTGTACTGACTATTGAAGCTGGGTGATGAGGACATGGAAATTCATTAAATTATTCTACTTCTGTGGATGTTTAAAAATTTCCATAATAAAAAGTAAAACAAAAGCAAACACAAACAGGAGTGCTGCTAGCATTTCAGCCTATACTGTGTTGTAACATTGGAGAAAGCTTTGGAATTACGGACAGAGAATGAAATTTTGAGTCTTGGTTCTGCCCCTTCCTAACTGCAACTTGGGACAAGGCATATAGCTTCTCAGTTAGTTTTTGGGTTATATGGGGTTAAAGTAGATGATACTGAAGCTCATTCCCATCTCCACTCATCTATAATACAATCAATTTGAACACTCTGAGACTACCATTATTTTCTAAGAAGGCGTTCTGATTTCTACAATTTCCTACTTCTGGTAGTTTTTCAGAGAGAAAAAGAAAGTCATTTAGAGAATTCAGAATAATTGTTTAAAACAAATAAACAGTTGGACTACCTGATAAATATAATTTCTTAACCGTATGAGAATCATGAAATGTGTCAAGGTTTCCTATATTCATTAAGGTTTTAAAATTTTATTTATATAGCCCCTACAGATTGTTTACATTTATAATAACAATTATAAAAATGGAACAGTTTTATAGATCTAAAATGCTAAGTCAGCCCTAGCCAGTTTGGCTCAGTGGATAGAGCATTGGCCTGTAGACTGAAGGGTCCCGGGTTCAATTCCAGTCAAGGGCATATACCTAGGTTGTGGGCTTGATCCCCGGTAGGGAGCATTCAGGAGGCAGCTGATCAGTGATTCTCATCATTGATGTTTCTCTCTCTCCCTCCCCTTCCTCTCTGAACTCAATAAACGTATTTTTAAAATAAATAAAAATAAAAAAATAAAATGCTAAGTCACAGCCTAGTAAAAAAACATTTAAAACCACAAATATCTAACTTTTACACTTTAATTCTATCCATCAGAAATATTAAAGCTACAAATTTCTAATGAAGCTACCAAAACTTTTTGTAAACAGACTACAACATAAATTACTCACTTTGTTGCTTAACTCTGGAAAAGTGGTGCTTTGATAAGGGAAAGACTGGTCATCGACTATGTGCCAGTGGAGAACATTAAACTTATTAAAAGCCATGGCATCCTGCAAAAAAAATGTTAAAAAATTATATGTCACAGATATAACACACAATCCAATTTACATATCTCCACTCAGGACTGTTCCCAATGTGTCTGCTTCCTTTTAAAATTTTCAGTAAAGAAAGAATGTGGAAGCAGTATAAACCCTATTTCTTATATACTTTATATGGCATGCCATATTTCAAAAAGAAAAGCCAATATAGAATCTGTATTCATTCTAAATAGTGAGCTCTATGAGAAGGGAGCAAGCTTATACATTCCCAGTAAGTATTTGGGGATCAGCCAAGAATGGAAATAGTTCTTGGCTGCTCCTACTGCTATGAAGAAAAAGGAGGCATTCATTCAAGTTCCAGAGCTTGTAATTACCACCATTCTAAGATTTGAGTGTCAACCCATTCCTTAGAAATAAGAGAAATATGGTACAAATGCAATACACTTCCAATCAAAATCTCAGAAGTTTTAGGGGAAATTGACATATTTACTCTGGAGGAATTAATAATCCTAATAAAAGGGTAATATGCAAATTAACCATCACTCCGTCACAAATATGGTGGTGCCCATAGTGGCCGGGGTGGTGGACGCTGCTGGCGTCGCCCCAGCGACGAGCCCCAGCCTCCCATGCGCCCCGGCTCATGGAGGGAGGGAAGCTGGGCGGGCTTCTGGCCAATGGCCGGCCAGGGCGCGGGATGCTGGCGTCATTGCAGGCCGGGCTGAGGGACACCCCCACCCCCGAATTTCGTGCACCAGGCCTATAGTGTTTATATAAAATATAAGTAGATTATTATTTTTTTAAAATATTTTATTGATTTTTTACAGAGAGGAAGGGAGAAGGATAGAGAGTTAGAAACATCGATGAGAGAGAAGCATCAATCAGCTGCCTCCTGCACACTCCCTAGTGGGGATGTGCCCACAACCAAGGTACATGCCCTTGACCGGAATCGAACCTAGGACCCTTCAGTCCCCAGGCCGATGCCCTATCCCCGTGATGGCGAACCTATGACACGCATGTCAGAGGTGAGAGGAGAACTCATTTTTTTGGTTGATTTTTCCTTGTTAAATGGCATTTAAATATATAAAATAAGTATCAAAAATATAAATCTTGCCCTAACTGGTTTGGCTCAGTGGATAGAGCGTCGGCCTGCGGACTCAAGGGTCCCAGGTTCGATTCTGGTCAAGGGCATGTACCTTGGTTGCGGGCACATCCCCAGTGGGGAGTGTGCAGGAGGCAGCTGATCGATGTTTCTCTCTCATCAATGTTTCTAACTCTCTATCCCTCTCCCTTCCTCTCTGTAGAAAAACAATAAAATATATATACATAAAAAAAATAAAATATATATATAAATAAATCTTTGTTTTACTATGGTTGCAAATATCAAAAAATTTCTATATGTGACACGGCACCAGAGTTAAGTTAGGGTTTTTCAAAATGCTGGCACTCCGAGCTCAAAAGGTTCACCATCACTGCTCTATCCATTGAGCCAAACCAGCCAGGGCAAGTAGATTATTTTAAAAAGGTAAAAAACAATAAAGTGGGATATTTGCCCTGCCAAATAATCAAATTTAAAGATTGCCTTCTCCTTCATCAGGGCCGAAGGGATTTGCTGGTGGATTTGGGAAATAGCTCACATACAAGGGAATTATACAAAGGAATATGTTGAGAGTAATGGCAGGATTTGCATTGTCAGAGAAGGGAGTTCCTTATGGTTTTTAATAAAGATCAGGAGATGGCAAACATTTTACATGAAGGGCCAGATAGTAAATATTTTTATTTTGGAGCCATACAGTTTCTGTCACAACTGATCCTGCAGTTGTAAGGCAAGACAATATATAAACAAATGGACATAGCTCTATTCCGGTACAACTTCATTTGCAAAAATAGGTGACTAGCTGGATTTGATCCTTGGGCTATAGTTTGTCAGCCTCTGATATAGATATATAAATAGGTAAAGATGTATGTATTTGCTCACATAAATGAACATAAACATACACACATATGTTTTATAGCTCTGTCTGCTGAGAGGGCCTAGAAGCAATGAATACACCTACAGCTCAGGTCTTGGTTTCAAAATACGTTCACAAAGTATTGCTTAGAGAAAAGTCTGAGTCCAGGACTGGGAAAGAGAAAAGGTAAGCCTGGGATATTATGTGCTAAAAAGTAAGAAATTGTTCAAAGATTGAAGAAGACATGCCATTAGGCTACAGGAGCCAGCTAGGATTCCTGCTGGCCAACACTGAGACAACTTGACTATTAAATGGGGATAGTAACAACTCCAGTCCCCTCAAAAAAAAAACCAAACAGTAATCCCTGAGTACAGATTGATTTAAAAATAAATACTTTTAGAGAAACTCTATCTTACAGTAAAATGAGAGGCCCAGTGCACAGATTCTGCACCAGTAGGATCCCTTGACCTGGCCTGTGGAGATGGGGCCAAAACCAGCAGTCCGACATCAGCAGTCTGACATACCCCAAGGGTCCCGAAGTGCAAGAGAGCACTCTGCAAAGTTGCTGTCGCTCGGCAGCTCCTGCGTTGAGTCTCTGCCCCCTCGTGGTCAGTGTGCGTCATAGCTAACGGCCAGTCAGCCAGTCGCTTAGGTTTTTATATATATAGATGCCAGGCCAACTAATAAGCATAGAAGGAATGATGGAATTTAGAAAATCACCACCTGGCAGCCAACTTAGTAATAACTGATTTAGGCAAGAATCATCTGGGTGCTAAAACTAGTGGGTAAATGCTGGTTGAAGAACAGGAATTTTTTGTACTCTCAAAATATTGTTCCACAAGATACTAAGTTACTTATTAATAAATACAAAATACCTTTTAATTAACTTTCCCTGGAGAAACCTGGCAGATGACATCTTAGTCAAGTTATAAGAGTTAATATTACCAGTAATGGAATAGATGACATGCAGGAAGAAGAACAGAGTATCACTTCTGCCTTATTCCTGCTAAAAAATGCACAGCCTGAATCTAATCATGCGGAAAACAGACAAACTGAAGTATATTCTACAATGTAATTGTCCTGTACTCTTTAAAAAATGTCATGGTCTGGAAATACAAGGAAAGATAAATGGTTCTAAATTAAAGGTGGCTAAAGAGACATGACCAGTAAATGCAACCCCTGATCCTGCATTGGATGCTGAACCGATAAACGATTATTGGAACAACTGATGGAATGGGAATGGGAATGGGGCCTGGGGATTAGATGGTAGTACTATGTCAGTTTCCCGGTTTTTGATGGTTGTACTGTTGTTATTGAGATAAGTGCTATTTTTTAGGGAATCCAAACAGAAATATTAAAGGGTACTGGGGCATCTCATATGCAACTTGGAATAAGGCAAATCTGATACAATTTTTAAATTGAGTTGTCTGGGTAAACAGTATATGGGAGTCCTTTGCGCTCTTCTCACAACTTTTCTGTAAGTTTAAAATTATGTCAAAAAGAAAAAAACTTCCAAAGTTATAGAAATTAAAACCATTTATGCTGGCCTAAGAAGATAAACTGGTAAGTAGGACAGACTGAGAGTTCAGAAAATGATTTGTGCATTTATGAAATTTAGTATTTGCTCGTCATGATATTGAAGGCAGTGGGAAAACTGTAGATTGTTCAAAAATGATGTTGGTACTACAGGGTAACCATTGGGGGAAAAATGAAATTAAAATAATCACCCATAATACACTAGATTCTAACTGAATCAAAAACTTAATAAGGAAAAAATATAATATTAAAAAATTGTTTTTTATATTTATACCCTTGTTATGGAGGCTTTTTTTAGAATATCTCCCAAGGTCAAAAACATAAAGACAAGATTGAAAGGTAATACTTCATAAAAAATTAAAACTTCTTACAAGCAAAAGACACTATACTATTAACATAGTTTAAAAAACAAATTTAGAAAACTTAATAATATATGATGGATAAAAATATTATAAATATAAGCAAGTATATAACAGTACCATTGACATATCTATAAACAAATATAACATTAAAGAGCTTTTAAATCAACAAGGAATTAATGTTCTAGAAGACAAAACAGGCATTGAAAATTAACTTGTTTACAATGCAAAAAATACAAATAGCTAGTAAGTAAAAGAGGCTTATAATAACTAAAAATCAAAGTGCAAATTAAAACAAGGAGATAGACTTCATCACCAGATTAGCAAACAATGTAGCGAAGGTGTGTCCCAGTGTTGGCCAAGCATACAATGGCACGACCTCTCTAGAAGGCAGTCTGACAGTCCGTACCAAATATAAAATGTATAGTCTTTAAGCCCAGAGATTCACATTCTTAGAAATAATCCTGATGAGTGTACAAATATAAGAACACTTACTCTGCAGTGCTCTTTGTGATAATAATAAATTAACCTAGATGCCCACCAGCAGGAAACTGGTTAAATGCACATATCACAGTATATAAAATGGAACATTCAACTGTTTAAAAAGATGATATAGATCAGTGGTTCTCAACCTTCCTAATGCCGCAACCCTTTAATACAGTTCCTCATGTTGTGGTGACCCCTCCCCCCCCCCAATTTCACTGTTACAAATTGAACATAATTAAAGCATAGTGATTAATCACAAAAACAATATGTAATTATATATGTTTTCCAATGGTCTTAGGCGACCCCTGTGAAAGGGTCGTTCGACCCCCAAAGGGGTCGCGACCATAGGTTGAGAACCGCTGATACAGATCTTATATATTCTTTCATTGAAAGATGTCCATAACTGTATTTTAAAGATAGCAAAGTATAATCCCATTTAAGTTTTTTAAAAAGTCACATTATTTGTTAATATATTTTTTAAGTCTAAAATGAGATAAATGGGACATGAAAACTTAACGTTGATCTTTGGTAAACTATGGGATTACTACTTATCTTATTAATATCTATATTGGGTGAAGTTTTTATACTACACGTTTTTTCCCCCCATAAAAGTGACTAATGTCTTTTGGAGGAAAAAAATCAGGGTATTAATAGGTATTAATATAAATGTAAAAATAACTTTTTAATAATATGGTGTGTGGCCCTAGCTGGTTTTGCTCAGTGGATAGAGCGTCGGCCTGCAGACTGGAGGGTCTCGGGTTCCATTCCAGTCAAGGGCACATGCCCGGGTTGCAGGCTTGATCCCCAGTAGGGGCCTGCAGGAGGGAGCCAATCAATGATTCGCTCTCATCATTGATGTTTCTCTCTCTCTCTCGCCCTCCCTTCCTCTCTGAAATCAATAAAAATATATTTAAAAATAATAATAATATGGTGTGTTTGTAAATGATCAAGTGAAGGTGCAGAAAAACGTGGGAGGAAAACCTCCCACTGCTACAAATTGGCAGTGATGACAGGGATGAACCAATAAAAAGTCCACAGGAGAAAACAGTTATCAGCCTGGCACCCAGCTCTGACCACCCGAGGTTCCATATTGCTTTGGAACATTTCCCTGGGTATAATGCAGTTCCCAGACTTCTATGTCACTATAAAAAGAGTAAGTGGAGGTCACAAAATTAAAGGGCACTAACTAGAGGTACAGTGACCACAAATTCCTAACCAGAAGTCTAGACCCACGGTTTGACAAATGGGAGTACACAAAGAGAGCCAATGGGCAGTATTAAAACTGTCTTTCTCTTAATCCTGGCTAAACTTGGGGAGTTTCTCTTCTCCTCCCCCCATGAAAACAATAGGGTGATTCTCTAGGGGAGTCTCTACTTCAGCTGAGGAAATATACTTCACAAGGGAGAGAGAAGAGAGCCCAGTGCTTACACTTAGTACATAAAAAATGAATCCCCCACTGCAACCTACATAATAGCATAACCGACAAAGTAACAACATAAAAGGACACATCTTCAGAATGCACAGTGGATTAGAATAATTACCTACCAGAGTTCTAAGAATGGTCTTAACTGACAGAAAGTGTCTGGCTGTATCAATTAAAATTCCTCTATGAGGAAACCTTGGAGAATCACTAATGGTGGATTCATTGACGGTGAACTGTAAGACAAAATAAATTTTGACTTATTTTCAGAAATTTCTCTTGACATGAGCTCAAAAAAGACTACATCTATCTATGCAAGTATTGGATAAATATATTAATTTAGAGCCAAAAAAAGTGTGAAATTTACATTTACCAGCTAACAAATATTTGGGGAGAAGAAATCTTCAAGAAGTAATAAATAGCTAAAAAGCTTGCATTTTTCTTGTAGTAATATGTCTATCCAAAAATGTTGTTAACATATGATAATCATACTTACAGTCCCATATGCATCTTGATATACTAACTGGCTAAAGGTCTCTAAACCTAGGGAAAGTAAAATTTATAATTTATTGCATAATTTACAAAATAACAAATTGAAACAATAAAAGCTGTATTATCCAAACACAGAACCATGACCAGGTAAAGCAAATAAAATTAAATACAGGGTGTCCCAAAACATGTATACACACTTTACAGCTGCTAGTTCAATTTATGTTTCTTTTCAGCGAGGCTAAGCTTTGAACAAAGGAAATTCATCCTAAATGCTACTGGAAGTTTGAAAATCCAGTTGAAGCGCAAATAAGGCCTTTATAATTATTCAAAGTGTGTATACATTTTGGGGGGGACACAATACACACACTTTAACAGATGATAAAACTCACTGAATTTTCATTCCTTTTCAGGTTTAACTGATTTGAAATAATGGACGAAGCCAGACTAAACTTTGAACAAAGAAAATTTATCCACTAGACTTTTATAAGGATACATAAAAGATAACATTTATGGCACAAAAACAGCAACAGTGGACGAATTGAAGGCACACAAATACCAAACGAAATAATTCTTGATTATTTGCGATTCCATTGCTTTGCATTATCAGCAGTGCCTGGACCAGAACGGTCATCAGTTTGAAAACAGGCGTTGACCAAAAACATTCTTTTCTGTAGATTCTTTTAAATTTTGAAAATGAACTATATGTTAATAAACACTTTATAATCATTCAACATGTGTATACATTTTGGGGACACCCTGTATAGTGTTACCCTCTACATATTTTCTAAAATCAAAGCTCAATTTTTTTAAAAAAAATCCTGTTGCTATAAATAAAGATGCTTTATTTCATTGTTCCCATAGCCTGTTTTGTCTGAATGATAGACACAGAAAAGAATCGTGATTTAGTAAAACAAAATGCCAATTCCAAATAAATTTTTAGCATTATGAGTAAGAGGTATGATAAAATTTAGACACCTTAGGATGTACCTAAACTTAAAAAGAGCAAAAAGGCCCCAAAACCACCATAAAACTATAAAGTCCCAACTTATATCTGGCACTAGGAGGACCGACCCGACCCGCCAGTCAAGCTGTGTGTGTCAGCAGAAACCGCCTGCAGCCAGCAGAAGCTGATAAAAGCCTTGCCCCCCCCCGTTCAGTGGGAGCGGACTTCTTTCTCGGACTCAGCCCGCCTGCACCCAGGCGCTTGAATTAAAATTTCTTTTGATACATTTCGGCCTCATGTCATAGATGCTCGACCTCGGCCCACTCAGAACCTTTCAGCTACCGAGTATGGCATGGCAAAATCGATGGTTAGCACAATTTTAAAGCATAAAGAGGCCATCAAGAGTGCTGATGTTGGTAAGGGCATGAAAGTGCTCATGAAACAGTGAGAAACAGCGATTGAGACAGGTTAAAACAGAATCATTTAGGGGTCTGGAATGGATTAATTCCATTTACATTGTTTGTAATGGGAAAAAATGATTCAGTTTTCGAACAAATAGCTTCTCAAACAGCCTTCCAGAACAAATTAAGTCAAGAACCAAAGTTCCACTATATATATAATCTTCAGTGGTTCTCAACCTTCCTAATGCCGCAACCCTTTAATACAGTTCCTCATGTTGTGGTGACCCCCAATTTCATTGTTACAAATTGAACATAATTAAAGCATAGTGATTAATCACAAAAACAGTATGTAATTATATATGTGTTTTCCGATGGTCTTAGGCGACCCCTGTGAAAGGGTCACGACCCACAGGTTGAGAACCACTGATCTAGATGGTAATGATTGCAGTTACATTTATAGTATCTATTGATATATTTATGTTCTATTTTGAAATAAGATGATCATGCCATTTTTATTATGACTATAAAACATGATGATTATTTGATTATTTATATGTGATTATTGTATTTGAGATAATGCTCAACCTGAGTCAAACCCAAAGCTGCCTTTATTTTTAAGTACTGTAACTTTGGTTGGTTAGCTCACGTTAAAGAAAATGATCCTTTTTAAAACTTACTATTTGGGCCCAGCCTGTGTGGCTCACGGTGTGTGCTAGTGACTCTTCCTTACCATGTTTTCTCACAAGACCCTCAGAATCAAGTGATTCCTGGCCAAGAGAGAGAAGCAACACTGTCCCATTCCTCAGGGCATTCAGATAAAAATTGGTAATGAGATCAGATATGACTCCCAAGAGAAGACACTGGAGAAGAACCCGGCTGAGCTATAAGGACTCCCACGTGAGATGGCACATGTATTCATGCTGTGTCAGAATCTTTAGCATCTTACCATATCAAGCTGAAAACTTCACCACTATATGGACAGTTGGACATATTTTTATTGGGAATATGGTTTTCTCTTTGTATGCTACTGTACTAGTAGGTTGGTTCAGTAATAAATATAGGAGAACTGTTATTTTAGTAAACAACCAAAAATAAATAAAATCGGAGGGGAAAGGCAGCAAGAAGTGACAGTGAAACAAAGTCCCCTAATCAGATCAGGTTGGGGCCATGTATAACCCTGGAACATTCCAGCTCTGATAGCGTCAATGAATTACAGCACTGCATGTAATAATCCTCAAGCTTTTTTAAAAGGTCAAATTGAAATCACTTTGGAAATATTCAACAAGCCATTCTGTCAAGTGTCTAAGGAAGCAAAGTTTTGCTGTGCTTACTTTCCCAAAGCACCAACTGAAAATCTTTCTTTACTGGAAAGTAACAATGAAACTACGTAGATCTTACCTCGTAATACTCCCCAGACTCTGTTGGCCTTGAGCAAAGCCACTGGTTCTTTGACAACTAAAGAATCTGTGTTGGGAATTAAAAAACAAGTTTATTAATCCCTCAAAGACACACAATAAACTTTCTAAACAAGTAACTGGTATTTCTAACCAATCTTTTCTCCTGAGCTCCAGACCTGCTTCTCCAGCTGCCTCCCATACACTGTCACTTAGATGTCTCCTAGATTCCTTTGACGCCACATGCCCCAAACTGAACTCTTCCCTCGGTCCTGCTCCACACACTCCACCAGCCTGTCTCCTCTGCTCTTCAGCTCCGAGTCACAGCACCCCCTTCGCCAGCTGAGTTGTTCAAGTCGGGATCTTGGGTGTTATCTCCATGATTCCGCATTTTTCCCTCCAGGAGAGTTATTACCTCCAACTGCCCGTCAACCGAGTAGGGTTTATGGTTAAGCTGAGACTTTGTCAAAAGTGCAAACATTCCTCAATACCCATAATTCCTTTGTGCAGCCTCTGGTATCACTCAAATCTTCCACTCCCCACAAGACCAGACTTATCTCTACTCTTTTCCTTCTCCTTCTGTGCTTCTCTGCTTGCCCTGCACCGACCTTTCCCAAATAACACCCTCAATCTGCCTTAAGACTCCCTTCCTAACTAACGTTAGCTCAATTCAGCTTTGTCCCACACAATAAAAAGCTCACACTCATCTAGGGGCTCCAATTGGCTGCTACTAGGCCTGGGGGGCGGGGGAGGGGGGCCTAAATCTTTCAGTCCTTGAAATCATACTCTGCCAAACGTGGCCCCAATGGTCATCATAGTTTTTACAGTTTGGGGTGGAGCCCCCACAGGTAAAGTAAAGCACCAGACAGCACAGAAAACTAAAGGGTGACTGATGCAAACAGTAAAGAACTCCAGGGCTGCAGGTTAGATTCAATATTGTATCTGGGCTACATCCTCACCCTCCGCTTCCTCCACCACCACCATCCAGACAAAGACAAGATAGTTGGCTGCAGGTACGGAAAGAGGCTTATCAACAGCCAATAATCATGTGACCCTTTCAGGTGACAGTCTTCTGACAGGGTAGCCTTTTCAATCAGAAGACCAAGTGATGAGTTAGCTAAAGTCCAAGCTAAGGACAGTACCACTATTATGACTACAATCTAATCTTGATTCCTCTCCAGCTATATCAAATCTTGACCTAGAGCTCACAGTTCCATTGGTCACTGTGTTAAAAAACAAACATGTTTTGCCATGTTATGTATAGTTTGAAATCTCCCAGAAATAGCACAGTCATCTAAAAACATTATCATGTTGCATGTACTTGATGCCAATTATTTTCCAATAAACTGAGGACTGGCTGATATTAAAAAGGATTTTGATTCAACTCAATGCAAAAACCACAATTATAAAGCAGAAGGAGAAACTGTTTTCTAAATGAACACATAAGCTACAGAATTTCAATATTTCAAAACCAAATTTTTAGTTTTAACAATGATTACCTCCCTGATTTGAAATGGGAGGGGCATCTTTGACTTCAGTTATCCCTTCCTGTACTTTTAAAAAATATATGTATTTATTGATTTTTGGGGGAGATGGAGGGAGAAACATTGATCAGTTGCCTCCCCCACACACCCCGACTAGGGACCGAATCTGAAACCTGGCCATGTGCTCTAACCGGAATCAAACCAGTAACCTTTTGGTGCACAGGAAGACGCTCAACCAAAAGAGCCACACCAGCCAGGGCTCTTTCCTATACTTTTGCACTTTTGTTTTAAAGGGCGTACATACAACGAACTTCAATATATTCTCCTTTAAAAACTCTGAAATGTTATAGGTCTCCTTTGAGATGCCCACTCAACTCCCTCTATTGTCCTCAGAAGAAACATCAGGCTTTTCATAGGCATTTTAATACCTATAACATGAAAATACAGGATTGCTCTGTGTGTGTTCCTACTGACACATAAACACACGAGTAAATTGTATCAAACACCCTTGATACATGTAAATATTTCTCTACAGTAGAAACTAGTCCACTTCTGTTTCTGAGGGGGTGCAGTGTTTACTAGGAGAGAATGCCGTTACACTCGTCACTTCCTTTGACATTTCCTCACACTGCAACAACCGCTGATAACTTATTTCCATTTGTGTGTGTTACTTTTATCATCATCATCAACTTGTTTAAACTTAAAACTAGTTTATCCTTCCATGAGGAAATTTCATAACCAGCTTGTCTCAAGAAACTCCCTTTTCAGAATCAAAAGGGTTTGCAAAACTGAATGGAAGATAAGCTGTAACTCTCCAGTCTCTATTTTCTGGAATGTATGTCCTTGTATTACTAACAGCAAAGATTCCTTGATAATTTAATGACCATCTCTATCTTCTTCAGATTGCAAAACCTAATTCATATATTATGTCTGAGTGCTGACTGTCAAATGAAATCACGTGGCTAATGTTGGCAAATTACCCTGTTTCTCTTCCAAGAATGGCTGCAGCATTGAAGAGAAATGTATTAAGAAGTCTCATCTATACCACGAGGATGGGGCAGTCTAAGGACAGAGGAGTCACTCTTTTCTCATGTACAGTATCCTTTCTATTTTTATACCCAGCTCACCAGTCTGCTCTCTCTGCACTAATCTGTGTCACCCACGTCCTCATATTGCTCCTCTTTGATTCCTTGATATAATTCCACACTATTCCCATTCAGAACACCCTATGGGAAAGGCCTGCACAATTGCTTCTAAAACAATTAGGGAAAAGCCATAGGGAATATTTTAGGCAACAAAAAAATAACGTAGCTAGCCCTAGCCGGTTTGGTTCAGTGTCAGCCCACGGACTGAAGGGTCTCAGGTTCTGATTCTGGTCCAGGGCACGTACCTCAGTTGAGGCTTGATCCCGGGCCCTGGTCGGGGCTCCTGTGGGAGGCAACCAATCAATATGTCTCTCTCACATTATTTTTTTTTTCTCTCTACTGCCCTCCCTTCCATTCTCTCTAAAAAATCAATGGAAAAATATCCTCAGGTGAGGATTAACAACATAATTTTTAAAAAATCATGTAGCTACATGTTGATTATATTATTGAGCAAAGGAAATACCTCCCCTCTCCCAGAGTTCTGCATTATCTTTGTGTCAAATTATATTATAAATAGAGATCATGAATATAAGCATAGATCTGTCTTCAAAATAAAAGTTAAGAAATTAGATGTCCAAAAATAAGGGATTAACCAAGTTAGTTATGGCACATCCAGTGACAGGACATTACTTAGCCATTAAAAATGATGTCTCATAAATAGAAAAAAAAATTAGTAAAATACATGTTTATAATGTATTGTTATATAAAAAAAGCAAAATACAAAAATCACATGTACAAAATCCATTTTCATATCACTAGCATGTTTATATATTTGTAAAATGTTTAAACTAACTGCTTTTTTACAAAATGTGAAATAACAGTGGTAAACTGAGTGCTGGAGTTATGCGGGATTTATTTCCTCCATTTACAGCACTTTTATCATCAGATTTTAATGGTAATTTTTAAAAATAGGAATTATAAGTGCACTAACCAATAACTCATAATAGTTCATGGCATGAAGACTGCTTTTGGCACTTAAATCGGTAACAGCTTTAAATACACATTCGCATTACATAGGTACTCACAGGACTCATCTGAAGAAATACTGGGATACATTTCACATTCTGAGTCACGGACCACTGAGACGAGAAGTTGCTGTATGTCGGCTTTAACGTGAAATTTAGCAGGGAGGTGATACAACAGGTGGTCTCCAAAAACATAGTTATGATATCTGTGTGAGAAATAAATTCAAACAAACTGTAAACCACTGAAGCTTTAAATACATATGTGGTAGCAGACATTGTCATTGACCCCTCAAATCCACGCTACTCCTTATTAGTCCAAGTACAGCAGGGGTGGGGAAACTTTTTTCTGCCAAGGGCCATTTGGATATTTATAACACCACTCTCAGGCCACACAAAATTACCAACTTAAAAATTAGCCTGCTATATTTGGACAAACATTTAATTAACTCACCTATAATGCCTTGGCAGGGCCAGACCAAACAGCTTCGAGGGCCTTAGATGGCCAGCGGGACAGATGTTCCCCACCCCTGAACTAGAGGCCCTCACCCCAAACTGCACATTGGAATCACCGAGGAAGCTTTTTGAAAATACTGATGTCCAGACCTTCAGAATCAGGGTCTTGGGAGAGTAGGATCCAGGCATGGGAATTTGCAGAGTTCCCCACACTCGCAGGTGACTCATGTGAAGTCCCCAATAAGAGCCAATAATCAAACCAGTGTTGGTAATCCAAACTCTGGCATGTACAAGCCAGTTCTGACCAGTAATGGGGTGGGGAGGAGGTATAGTAGGAAGTTTCCTCTCCTATGTGAGCCACAAGAAGAAAACTTTCTCTGTATGTGATACCTGGACCAGTTGCACCCACACTAAAGACGGCAGAGCAGAGGTGGAAAGAATACTGATTTCCTAAGGATCCTGGTGGGCCAGTTAGCTGTGCCTGAAATCCTCCCTGCCTTTGGACTTCCTGATGTGTGAGATCATAGGCTTTCTTATTGCTAAGCCAGACTGAGTCAGGGTCCTGTTATCGTCCAACAAAAGTATGCAAATACATAAACCTCCAAGAAACATCGCCAGACCACAGAATTCTCACTAGGGCCTTGAAAATGTAACATATGCTATTAGTATCAGAGAAAGAGGATATTAAATAAACACTTAAATATGATAAAAGATTAGATTGTTTAAGTATTTGTTGTGGCTTTTTTTTTTTAAGGCATCTCGCTTTTTAAAAAATGCTTCTGTTGATTTCAGAGAGATGAAGGGAATAGATAGAAACAGCAATGATGAGAGAGAATCATCCATGGGCTGCCTCCTGCACGGCCCCGACTGGGGATTGAGCATGAAACCTGGGCATGTGCCCTGACCAGGGATCGAACCAGCAACCTTTTGGTGAACGGGATGACACCCAACCAACTGAGCCACACTGGCCAGGGCTAAATATTGAATAGGTGTTGATAAGCCAGAAGGCTGTGTATGCTACCTATGTGTAAGAACGTCTTGTGTTTTTCAAAAGTGAGGAGAGGCAGGAAAGTTCCGATGAATTTGGAAGTGTATGGAAGGTAACCAGTGAGAAGGGAATGGAGAAGGTGCTGAGGGCCTTTTTCATGGAAAGGCTTGGACAGATTCAAAAGGAAACTGAGATCACTGATCTGTACTTAAAAATGGTTAAAATGGTAATCTTATGTATATTTTACCAAATTAGGTGCTGGCTTGTCCCAAATAAGGAAAATCCTGGCCCTGGGTATTAAAACTCTAGCAGCAAACTCGGAGGGCTCAGAAGCCGTGGTGTCCAAGGTACAGGCGTACCTCATTTTTGTGCTTCACAGTTTTTTGTTTGTTTGTTTGTTTTTTACAAATTGAAGGCATACAGATTACAACTCATTTTATTGCAAGGCTTGCTTTATTTCTGTGGCTGGAACTGAACCCGCACTATCTCTGAGGTGTGCCTGTATGTGGGTTAATCCAGCCTTTTAGGAACTGAGAGTGAAGCTATTTGTTCATTTAAAAAATGTGTAGGCCTGGCCGGTGGTGCTCAATGGTTTTGTGTCAACCTATGAAGCAGGAAGTAAGGGTTCGATTCCTGGTCAGGGTTCAATTCACAATCAGGGCACATGCCGGGGTTGCAAGCTCGATCCCCAGTGGGGGGCATGCAGGAGGCAGCCAATCAATGATTCTCTCTCATCATTGATGTTTCTATCTCTCTCTCTCCCTCTCCCTTCCTCTCTGAAATCAATAAAAAAAATATATCTTTAAAAAACAACTAGCATGTGACGGACCTGGTTCCAGAAGCTGAGCAAGCACCAAGCTCTCTGCCGGCAGACTGCTCCAAAACAGAGTCTGTTACAGAAGTCGGGCTGCAGAGACAGGAGCCACGGGATTCTGAACAATCTGGGGCCAGGCTGTGTGTGTTCCCGGCGGGTGGAAGCTCTGGATCGCCTCCTCTAAATCTGTCCAACCCATCATGCTTTTCCTCTGAAACAGACACTGCCCTTCCTGAGTTCCTAGAACGCTCACCTGAATGCTTGCAAGTCTTAGCCATAAGGGCTGTTTTACAAGCTGCTTCCTAACAAGGCAGGGTATAATTAACAGCTGCTTCACACCCAGGGCACGGATGAGTGAGGCAAACTCCTGCCCTGCCTCCGAATGCCAAGCCTTGTTTCTACACCATCGCACAGCTGATTCAAGTCCGGGTTACCTCACCATTGCTGACTTGTCACCCATGCTTTCTTGCATGCTCACCTCACTTCAGCATATCACCAAGTTCTTGTATGACTAGTGGGATGGCCCAGAGGAAACTCCAACCTTAAAAACCAAGTCCCAAAGCCAGTATGAGGATGTGTGCCCAGCCGTGATCTTCCTTTAGATGACCTTCAGGTTCTCTTCCCTTCTCAATACCCCACGGCAACCAACCACCTCGTTTTTACTTCTTCACCTGGTCTCTAGCCACTCTGACCATAAAGGTAACAATATGCATTTAGTTGTACGTAACCGAAGGAGAGAATGAGGCCTCTCTGCTATCAGCATCTGGGGCCAGCAGGTGTTCTTAAGCTAGTTTTGCGTTTTTCCACCAACTGTTTGGTGTCCTGCAGGTACAATTAGGCTACAATACCCACTGGAAACAGGGAAAATGGGGGGGTGGGGGGGGAGGTGAGGGGGGGAGACAGTACCAAGAGGACCTAGTCACAACCCTTCAGGGCACTAACTCCTCTACACACGTCCCGCAGTGAGGAGACAGCATGTGGCATGAACCATCTCCCCAAATGCAATCTGCTTTGTGCGCTGTTAGCAAAGCTAGGCTGTGGGCGGCCTCCCCTTTACACCATTCACCCGGCCTGGGAGCTGCTAAAGGAGGACACAGCAGCTGGGAGCACGTGACAGCTGCTGGGAAACAAAAAGTCAGATGCCACGGAGCGCTGACCAAAGTCTTTAGGTGAGAACATCAAGCGTCTTGGAACAGGGCTTTGGGAAGGGAAGGGAAGGGAAGGGTTGTGTTAGGCAGTGTTGTCCGACCGAAGGGCTTTCCGCCATTCCAACTGTTACCAGACTAGGGGTGGCTGGGGAGCCGCCTATAAATAACAACCAACTTTGAGGAACACGGGTCCCCAGGCTTTAAGCACTCCTCTTCCTCTTGAACTCCCTTCAGATACGAAGCTGCCGTTTCCCCTTCCTCTCACCCTCCCTCCCCCCACCCTTTCCTTCCCTCCGAGGGGAACATGGCCACAGACTCTGAGCAACCTGCTCCACTGAGTGTCCCACACGCAAACCAGGGTTCCCGGGCACCAGGCTGACCCGGCGAAGGCGGGGGGGGGGGGGGGGGTTGGGGAAGCCCTTGGGCCGCCTTCCGGGTCCCAAGGGGGTCTTCCCCTGGTAAAATTTTGGCCAGGCTCACCCGGTTGGAAACCGTTTTTTCCTCTTGTAAAATGGGACCAGAACGGCCTTCGGGCTGGGGGGCTTTGCAGGGGCCTAAAAGGGCCCGTGGTCCCCCCCCCCCCGCCCCGCACAGGGGCCCCCAAGTGGGGGGCAAGTTCCGGGGCCCCCCGGACGGTAGGAGGGGGCCACCTACCCGCCCAAGAGCTCCCCTC